GTCCCCGTATCGAGCCTCCCGGGGGGGAAGGAGATTAGGTGAACAATCAGGCTGTGGGGAGTACCATGCTGGCGGTGATGGGTGCAGGGATGGTATACTATGCAGTTTGGTTGTTCTTGCTCCCCTTTGTGGATCCAGATCATACCCTGAGATCATTCTTTCCCGATGTCTATTACGCTTTGGCCTTCCCGGCTGTCATCGGTGTCGTCATCGTCTCCGCCATCCTCACCTTTATCGCCTTTGTCATGATCTACGCAAGTGGCTCGTGATTGGCCCCGTTATTGCAGCTATGCCTGGTTAGAGCGTTGTCTGGCTCTGTCGTGGCTGTACATGCCACTGCACCTGCCGCCCCAACCGCTGGTAGATCGCGATCAAGGCGCACGCCGGCAAGGCCGCGCGCAAACTCGCTGTGCCCCTCATCGCTTGCCCTCGGCAAACTGTGACATGCCACAAGTATGTCGGTAACCTCCACTTGTCCGCCGTCATGGAGAAAGGCGACAACCGAAAGCAGAATCGCGCCCGTAGCGCTGATGGCGCGCGACGACAGGCGGCAGGCGAGAGACGTTCGGTGAGCAACCTTTGCAAGGCCACCAAGGCGAGCAAGCTGCAAGATGCTGCAAGAAGTGGGTAACTTCCCAAAGGCGGCAACCGAGAGCAGAATCGCGCCAGTGACGCTGATGGCGCGCGCGACGACAGCAGCAGGCGAGAGACGTTCGGTGAGCAACCTTTGCCAGACAGACGACCAGTTTGAGAAGGCAGTAGCACTCGACTCAACACCGTCACCGTTCAAGACTGGTAGCCCGAGATGGACGTCCCGCCCGACCCCTGGCTCATTACAGAGGATGAGGTGGATGTGTTTGAAGAGCTGGGTATGGACATGGGGACGGGGTGGGGGGGGTGGGGGCGGGGGGTCGACGGGGGGGTGGTGGCACCTGAGCCACCGCCCATGCCCACGCCAAGCAACGGTGGGAGGGTAGGGGACACGGCAGACAGCAGGACACTTATGAAGTTGCTATGGATGGGGGTGTTGGGGGAGGGGGTAGGTCATGGCATGTTCTCCAAGGTCTATCGTGGCGAGTACCGTGGAGAGACTGTGGCGGTCAAGAAGATGGCTCTCCCGCAAGACGAACAGACAAAGACCTTCCTCAAGCGCGAGATCGCCATCCTCAAGCAGCTTGTTCATCCGCACATCCTGCGGTTTGTTGGCGTCACTTCGGCCGGCTCGGCTGGCCTCTGGGTTCTCACCGAACTGGTGCCGAACAATGACCTCGAGACATGGATCGAGAACACATCGGCGGATCTGTCGTGGAAGCTGCGGCTACGGTTTGCGTTTGAGATTGCGTCTGCGATGGAGTACCTGCACGACAACTCGATGATGCACCGTGATCTCAAGTCGGCCAACGTGCTGGTCGACGCCGAGTTCCACTGCAAGGTCGCTGACTTTGGCTTTGCCAAGGTTCTAGGCGATACTGGGGGCGGGGACAGCGCGCGGATGACGATGTGCGGAACAGACGACTGGATGGCGCCCGAGTTGACGCTAGGCGAGGACTACGACCTCTCTGTCGACGTCTTCTCGTTCGGCATTGTACTCGTGGAGCTGATCACCCGGCTCAAGCCGTCGGATCCGAAGATCTGTCGGACGCCGATGGAGTGCTTTGAGCTCAACAAGTCACGAGTGCTGCTGGCGTCGCCGGACGATACACCAGAGATGTTTATGGATCTGGCGTTTGCCTGCGCGGCATACTATCCAAAGGACCGGCCCGAGTTCTCGCGTGTGGTGTACGAGCTAGAGGGCCAGTTTGACGACGCCGCGGCTGTCGAGCGGTGGGACGAGCCCGACTACACGCCGCCAGTCTTGGAGCCTGTAGTGCCGCTGCGAGCGGAAGAGGCCAAGGCACTGCGGCGGGCTTCGCGGCGCATCTCAGTCATCGACGCTGAGGAGCGCAACTCGTCCGAGTTTCTGCAGCTCGAGTCCGGCCGGCGGGTCTCGGTCATGCTGTCGTCGTCGGCCAACCCGCTCGGGCGAGTGGGCATGATCCAAAACTCGCGCCGCAAGTCGCGTCGCCGGTCGGCGATGAAGCCGCTGCTCCACACTGCACTCGAGACGGCCACGCGGTCTGCAAACAACTCGCCGCTGGTCTCGCCGTCGTCGGATGCCGATGTTGAAGCTCGTGCTCCGTGTTCCCCCGAAGACACATCGGCCCAGGCCGAGACAGATGTCTACGCCGGGAATGACGAGTGGCTCATACGCGAGGATGAGGTGGAGCTGTTTGAGGAGCTGGGTAAGGGCATGTTCTCCAAGGTCTATCGCGGCGAGTACCGTGGAGAGACTGTGGCGGTCAAGAAGATGGCTCTCCCGCAAGACGAACAGACAAAGACCTTCCTCAAGCGCGAGATCGCCATCCTCAAGCAGCTTGTTCATCCGCACATCCTGCGGTTTGTTGGCGTCACTTCGGCCGGCTCGGCTGGCCTCTGGGTTCTCACCGAACTGGTGCCGAACAATGACCTCGAGACATGGATCGAGAACACATCGGCGGATCTGTCGTGGAAGCTGCGGCTGCGGTTTGCGTTTGAGATTGCGTCTGCGATGGAGTACCTGCACGACAACTCGATGATGCACCGTGATCTCAAGTCGGCCAACGTGCTGGTCGACGCCGAGTTCCACTGCAAGGTCGCTGACTTTGGCTTTGCCAAGGTGATGGAAGAGGTGCCGACGCCCGGCGACGCCAAGCTGACACCCAACTCGAAGCGCAAGCTGCGGCGGATGACAATGTGTGGAACAGATGAGTGGATGGCGCCCGAGCTGACGCTTGGGGAGAACTACGACCTTGCGGTTGATGTCTTTTCCTTTGGCATTGTACTCGTGGAGCTGATTACCCGGCTCAAGCCGTCGGATCCGAAGATCTGCCGGAAGCCGATGGAGTGCTTCGAACTGAATGCTGCCAACGTTCGAGCGGCTGCGCCCAAGTCAACCCCCGAGGCGTTCATGGCGCTGGCGCTGGCGTGTGCGGCGTACTATGCTAAGGACCGCCCTCCGTTCTCGCGTGTGGTGTTTGAGCTGGAAAACCAGTTTGACGACGCGCCCGCCAAGGATGGCTGGGACAATCCCGAGTTTGCACCACCGGTTGTCCTGCCGCTGCCGCCGTCGCGGCCGGGCTCGCCGCAGCTCCCCGGCCGCCGCTCGCGCCGCATCTCGGTCGTTGATGTGGAGGAGGAGATGTCTGCCGAGTTTGTCAAGATCGGCGGCCAGCGGCGAATCTCGATTGCGGCAGCGCAGCAGCAGTCGCGGACCATGGCAGCGCTGCGCGAGTCGGCGCGGTCGCTCCGTGCGCTTGCCGCCGCACAAAACGCATCCCGCACTGCCCCAGCTGCACCGACCCGCCCGCCGCGTCCACCGCGTCCTAACATCAACGACGTGTTCCGCCCAGCAGATCGGTCTCATCCGACCTCGCCCACTTCATTGGCACGATCGGCCACGCCATCGACTGCGGCATCGTCATCGTCATCGTCGTCGTCGTCGTCGTCGTCATCATCTCCATCGTCATCATCATCATCATCGTCATCATCGTCACCTCCAGCTGCGTCGAATTTGGACCAAGCAAGCGAAGTACCCGGAGAAGATTCTCCTTCCCGGCGTCCCCAGCCTCCTCTCAAGCCGCGGACGCTTGCCGAGCGACGTGACGAGGCTGCTGTTGCCGCCGCCGAGTCGACGGTGCGCAAGCGGTCCGTGAAGGACATGCTTGCGCTCTTTGAGTCGCTCAACATGTGATCCTGAGCCCAAGTTGTTGTGAACACGGCGTCTTTCCTTGCCATCTGGTCGCCTTTTGCGGGCGAGGGTTGTGACGAAGCCAAAACGAAGGCACCACCCGAAGGCGGCACCGCTCTGATCGACGGCAGAAGGACTCGAACCTCCACGTCCTCTCGGACACGTGCTTTCGAAGCAGGCGCGTCTACCAATTTCGCCATGCCGTCGTTGAAAGATCTGTCGCCTTCGGTGCCTCTTATCGCTGTCGGCGCTGCCACCGCGAGGGTTGTGACGAAGCCAAAACGAAGGCGCCACCCAAAGGCGGCACCGCTCTGATCGACGGCAGAAGGACTCGAACCTCCACGTCCTCTCGGACACGTGCTTTCGAAGCAGGCGCGTCTACCAATTTCGCCATGCCGTCGTTGAAAGATCTGTCGCCTTCGGTGCCTCTTATCGCTGTCGGCGCTGCCACCGCGAGGGTTGTGACGAAGCCAAAACGAAGGCGCCACCCAAAGGCGGCACCGCTCTGATCGACGGCAGAGGGACTCGAACCTCCACATCATCTCTGATACACGCTTTCAAAACGTGCGCGTTTACCAATTTCGCCATGCCGTCGTTGAAAGATCTGTCGCCTTCGGTGCCTCTTATCGCTGTCGGCGCTGCCACCGCGAGGGTTGTGACGAAGCCAAAACGAAGGCACCACCCAAAGGCGGCACCACTCTGATCGACGGCAGAAGGACTCGAACCTCCACGTCCTCTCGGACACACGCTTTCTAAGCTAGCGCGTCTACCATTTCGCCATGCCGTCGTTGAAAGTGCACCCGCTGTATCCGCCCTTATCCCCATCGGTCACTTGCGCGCGCACCCTTCCCTCGTCAGCTCCTCTCACCTCCTCCTACCCATCCTACCGCCACCACAAGCACAACCACCAAGAGCCCCTAAGATCAACTTTCTCCAACCATCATCTCCACCCCGTGTCCCACCCCCCCCCCCCCCGATCTCGAATCCCCCAACCCTCGCACCCACGACCACCCCCGCCGCCTCTGCCAAGACCACTGCCACTGCCACTGCCGCCCCACCCCACCCCACCCCCACCCAGACACCATGGCAGCCTCATCCGACAACGCAACCACAGTCACCCACGAGTTGGCCCAGGAGGTGACCGAGGCCCTCGTACGTCCCTCCTCTTGCACACTCATACCCATGCCCGCGCACACATCCATGCTGCCCCTTCCCCCTGCCCGGGGGGGTCGAGCACGGGCCATCCCCCCTCTCCCACGCCCCCGCCCCCCCTTTGCCCCCTCCAATCACCCCCTTCCCTCTCCCTCCGATTGCCCCCTCACACTCACCCTATCCCGTCTCATCTCTGATCTAGGTCATGTACTCGGAGGCCATGGGCCTGCTGCGGCAAGAGTCGTACTTCAAGGCGGCGGTGATGCTCGACAAGGCGGTGAAGGCTCTGGTGGCGGCGGCTCCGCTACCCGATGACGCGGAGAGGGTGCTGATGCAGGCTCGGGTGGCTCTGGCCAACGCCCTGCTTGCTGGTGGGAAGATCAATTCGGCTGTGCGTCATCTCGATGTGGCCATTGAGGCCCTCAAGGCTGCCGGTCTGATGGAGGATGTGCTCGATGCCATGAACTCGCTCTTCCTCTGCAAGCTCCACGCCGGTGAGTGGGACGAGGCCGCCGATGTCTCGCGGGCCATGGGCGATGTCCTCGACGACATCGGTGCGCCCGAGTCGGCGGTGGCGGCTAGGGCCCGTGGTGATGCTGTGGCTGCTGGCTGGCCGAAGAACCGCATCGTCGTCCTTGTCTTTGGCCAGGGCGGCGCTCCCGACGAAGCCGACGAGCTTGAGGTGGACGACGCACTGGAAGTCATTCGCGCCGGAGGCGGCGGTGTCCGCATTGGCTTCAAGTACCAGCGCAACCGCCCTGCTCTTCCTGCAGCAGAGATTTTTATGCAGGGCTTCCACGAGACCATGGCCGAGGGCGAGTACGACGACGCCGCTGGGCTCATCGAGCTCGCCGCCAAGATCGACGTCCACAACCCGGATCCCCACTACCACACCGGCCGGCTTTGCCTCGTTCAGCACGACTATACCGGAGCCAAGGCTGCCTTTGAACGCGCCCAGGAGCTGGCTCCGGGCTGGCACTCGGCCCAGGCGCTGGCCTGGCTCGCCAGTTGCGTCGCCGACGGAACCATGACTGACGGTATTTACGAGGCGCTGCAGGAGCTTGACGAGCTCGAGGACAACGCTGAGGACAGTGCCGAGGCCGCCGCCGCCTACGCCGCCATGGCCCAGGAGGCGTGCGAAAAGTACCCGCTCCACCCGCTTGTGTACAACCACCTCGGGAGCGCCACCTACCTCGTCTCCCGCGATGCCGAGGCCGCCAAGGCCCACTGGGACACCGCGCTCGAAGTCCTTGGTGACGCTGACCTCGACGAGATCCGTGGCGTCATCCTTACCTCCAAGGCTGCCGCGCTGGAGGACGACGATCCGACCGCCTGGCGCGCCGCCATGGAACTCGCCGCTCATCTCGGCCAGAACGCCATGCTCACCGCCACCATGGCCAAGATCGCCCTTGCCACCGATGACGCTGTCAAGGCCGCCGAGTCCGCTGCCGCGCCTGACGCCTAGAGTGACGAGTATGAGTATTCTGACGAGCTCGGATCCCGCACCGCTCTTTGCGGCCCGCCGCCGCCGAGCGAGCCCGACGACGACAGCGTCGAGTCTGGAAACGCATCCGGCGGCGCAGGCGCAAACGCTGTCACACCATCGGCGGAGCCGGTGCCGGTGCCTGTTCCAAGACTGGCCGGCTGTGGGCTCGGTGATGCGAGGCCAGACGACCGCTGGTGGTCCAGGTCCGAGTTGGCTGCTGCTTTGGCGCGCTGCTGGCCCTCGGGGCGCTGGTAGTGAACAATGGTGGCGATCGGCGCGCGGCAGATGGGACAGGTTCGGATTTTGGACGCGCACTCCATGCAGCAGACCTTGTGTGAGCAGTCGCGGAACATAGTGCTGCGCTTGGCGTCAAGGCAGATGACGCACTCGTTGTTCTCCGAGTCCGAGTTTGCCAGGTTCGAATCGTCCGACGGCGCAAGCTCGACCGCCTCGATCGGGAGCGGCTGCTCCGGCGGCTCCAACGCCTCCAAGCCCGGATCCATGACCGCGTTCTCGCCATGCCGCCGGACATGGTTCGCCAGCCGCAGGTGGGCGAGCGCCATGTTCCGGATCCGGACCACCAACAGCATCGTCGTCACCGTCGAGATCATAATCCACGCTCCGACCACAGATCGGACCAAGCTCGAAACAGAGAACTTGATAAAAGCAAACATAACAAAGATGACGCCCGCTACCATGATGCCTACCACCACAGTCATGATAACGTTGATCACGAGCCAGGTTGCAAGATGCCCCACATACCGCCGCCGCGCTGCCCACCCGCCGTAAACGACATACCCGAGCGCGACAATCACAAAAATGACGGTGGTGATGGCGTTACTCAGCGACCCAAAGTAGTTCCCGCCGTTCTCTACAAACTCGATGATGCCTAGCGTCGACCACGAGCACACCAGGCTCGCCAGCCAGACGTGAAACTTGGCGACAAAGACGCCGATTCGGTCGCCCTGCATGCGGCGGAGAAAGTCAATCGACGGCATGAATTGCTGAGCTGGAGGGCCCTCTCGTGCACGCACAATGGCCAGTGCGGTGGCCATGTCCATGTCTGGCTCGCGCCGTCTGGCAGTAGGCCTGACCTCCGCCCGCTCGCGCCGCCTCCTCTCGCGTCGCTGCGACTGCCGAGCCCTCGCCTCCCGCCTAGCCTCACGCCGACGTGATGATCGCGACGATCTCCCACGATCACCAACCCGCCGCGACCGCTCATGAGAGCGCGACGAGCGATGCCTGCCTCTCCGCCGCGATCTGCTTCGGGAAGCAGCCGACGAGCTGGACGACACGCTCGCCGAGCGTGGGGCAAGATCATCGGACGAGTCTGTGGGCACATCCAGAAGCGCCCGATGGGTGGTTCCGGTCGGATTGGGTGCGTCTTCACCAGGGACCGAGCCGTGTGCAGATGATGACGATGATGACGACCTGTGCGGCTCGGATGGCCACGAGTCGGTCGAGTGTTCCGAGAACACCGAGTTCCTCCGCCCGACTCGCCGCCCACGCCGCTCGCTCTGCCGGCCGCCTTGCCCAGCCTCCCACGACGGCAACTGATTGCGGCTCATGCACACAGGTCGTATCTGATGCGTATGGGGTATGCAACGTGGTGTGGAGGGGCTGGGAGGGTGATGGGGAGGGGGGGGGATGGGGGGGGGGGACGAGAGCTGTGGCTGACGAGTCGCGCTTGGCGGCGGCGCCCACACTCACCTGAGCGTCTATAATCGATGGCAAGCCACCTGCACGCGAATGGTGAGCGATGGCGGCGGGAAACATAAACTGCCGACCAGAACGGGGAGATTCTGTCTTTACTTCCATGTGGTGGATCTTGCTGGCTTGGTGGAGGGCTGTCGACGGGAAGGTGGTGACGAGGCCCGGAGGCGGCGGCCGGGGAGAGTAGAGGATGACGGGCTTGCAGCGCGGATGTCGACGGCGTTGTGCAGTTGCGACGGCGGACGAGTAGGCGAGCCGCGCGAGGGGAGCGATGGCGGCGAGCGGAAGCCACGGAGGGTGGGGTTGGAGTACGATTGCAACTCGCGGCGTGTGCGCTTCCTGGAGAGGACACGCTCGACGACGCGGGACTTGTAGCGCTCCCAGGTGAGCTGCTCGCGGTAGGCAGCGAGGAGCTCAGCGTCGGATGGGTAGTTGGCCGAGGTGAGCTGGACAATTTCGAGGGCCTTGTCGACGATGAACTTGGTAAACTCGGGCTTGGGTAGCTTGTAGACGACGCACTTGGAGGCTGCGAGGACCGAGGCCGAGTGAGGGGCGTTGTGGATGATGGCGAGTTCACCAAAGAACTCGCCGACGCCCAACGTGGCAATGTGGAGGAACTTGCGGACCGGCTCGCTAGTCTTGCGCGAGATGCCGACCTTGAGCTCGCGGACGATCTTAACCGAGCCGGCGCGGATCATCCAAAGAAACTTGCCCTCGGAGCCCTGCAGGATGATGGGCTTGTTGGGAAGAAACTTCTCGATGGTCATGCACTTTGCCAGCTGATTCATGCGGCTCGACGACCAGCCGTAGAACAGCGGGCGCTGTGAGAGGAACTCGACTCGCTCCTCGAGATCCCGCTGCATGGCCAGCTCGAGGATCTGAACGTAATCGTTGAGCGAGACGAGCAAGATATCTGTCGGCTCGGCACACTTGATGGTTGCGCCGCGGACGCCGAACTTGCGCTTGTGCTCCTCCACACCAGAAGTACCGGGCAAGGAGTCATCGTCCCACGACGACACCTTTTGCATGGCTCCCTCACCAAAGCCGTCACCGGCGCGGAGCGTAAAGATGATCTGCGAAAAGGTCTCCATAGCGCGTCCGCGCTTGAGCCGCGGCGCCGGCACTCCGCCTTTGTCTGCAGGCGGGTCGGCGGCCGACGGAGCCGATGGCTCGATAGAGATGCCCTCGACCGGCCCGTCAGCCAGGGCGACGACACCTGCGGCGGCTGCAGCGGCTGCAGCATCGGCCGACTGCTTCATGCCGTAGACCGATCCGGCTAGGATGATGCGATATCCGTCGGGCTCATCGCCCTCGTAGAAGACGACCTCTCCAGCGGCGTAGCGGACGAGTACCATGCGACGGGCGAGCTCACGGCGGGTGTGGCGAGGATACTTGCTCACCGCCGGCAACGACTCGCAGATGGCGAGAATGGCGGCAATATCGTCAACTGACCGCTCCACTGCCGTCTTCTCCAGCGCTTGCAGAGCCGGGGCTGGCAGGTGGGCTTCACCGTCGTCAGCATCATCGCTCATGGCCATGGACGCGCTGCGGGCGAGCGAGACTGCCGAGCCGGTCGGCACCAGCGAGCTTGCCGACGGCAAGGACGACAGCGGAGGCTTGAACGTCACCGACCTCCGGGACGCTAGTCTCCCTGACTCCAGCATGGTGGATGGCTCGTGCGCCGTGGGGAAGGGGGGTACGGTGTGGTGCGGTGGGGCAGGATGGGGAGGAGTGGTGTGGTTGGGGGTTGAGGTTGAGGCGGCCGTTGACTCGGACAGCTCTCGCGATCACGGGCGGGCTTGATCGCCGCCTTGATCAAGGCATTGATCGCCGGCCTGGGGCCGTCCCGCATGGACACAGTCCTGACAGTCACGCGAGGGCCATGCACGCCTTCCCCTGCCAGCCCTGGTGGCTTGCCCTCCTCTCCCCAGCTGCCACACACTCACACACGCGCGCACAAGGCTCGACTCGGCAAGAGGCTCAAGTCGCAACGAGCGTGCTGGCGTCCAAGGTGCAAGAGCAGACTGTCGGTGGCGGTGGCGGTGGCCGGGCTGGCGGTGACGGGCTGGCGGCAGGTGCGGCAAGGACAGGTAGCGCTGCGGCTGGGGCTGGGGATGGGGCTAGGGATGGGGATGGCGATGCGACTGGTGCAGGTGGGCCAGTTGGAGGAGGCGGGGCGGTTGCGGATGGCTCGGCGGTGAAGAGCAGCGAAGCGGTGGCTGGAGCTTCTGGCCTTGGATCCGGCACTGAGTCGGCCCGTCTGCTGCAGCCAAACTCAGGCACGGGCTCGGTCACAAGCCCTGGCTCGAGCTCAAGCTCGGACTCGAGCTCGGGCTCAAGCTCAAGCTCGGGCTCAAGCTCGGGCTCAAGCTCGGACTCGAGCTCGGACTCCAACTCAAGCTCGAGCTCGAGCTCAAGCTCACACTCGACAGGCTCAAGTGCCGACGCGGGCACGGCTGGCCCGTCGTCGCCGATGATTGCCAAGAACGAAGTCATTGCGCTTGATTCGGACTCGGACTCGGATTCAGACTCCAGCAATGAGGCAACGGATGGGCTGCATACGCCAAGCTCGGCGGTTTCGTCGTGGGAGGCGGCGACGCCAGAGAGCGGAGCAAGCCAACAGGACCATTTTGTCGAGCCCATGAGCCTGCCGATGACTCTGCCGGAGGAGCTAGACTTGGCGGTGGCGGCGGTGCCCGAGTCGGCACGGCGTGGCTCGCTTGTCACCAAGATGTTCTTTGACATGGAGCATTACGTGCTTCGTGCGATGCGGGTGCCGGCGCCGGTGAAGCGCAAAGCGCGGGGCGAGGTTGAGATCCCTCCGGGACCGGGACGGAAGCGGACGGTCACATCGCTGTTTGTCTCACGACATCTCGACGATCTCTCACTGACAGTCTTTGGGGCAACGGTGGTGATGACCAAGAGCCGCGCTGACGGTTGGGGCTACGGGCATCTGCTGGCCCGCCCGGCTTCGCGCGGCTGGTTCCCGATCAACCACACGTACCCGACAGCTAGCCTCCGCAAGTACGCACGGCCCAAGTACCCGCAGCCGATCACGCTGCTACGGGTGTATCCGAGCGAAGGCCTCGGCTCAACCTTTGTGCACCTGCTCCTCGCGGCGCGGTTTGATCTATGCGAGCGTCCGAGCCCGGGCAAGGGCGCCATCCGACGTGTGCCTTGCAAGGTCGACTCAGCGCGCAAGGTCCGCAAGCTGGTCCGCAAAGGCTCACTGGCTGAGCCGATGCTTCAGGCTCCGCGGTCGCCGCGGGCAAAACTGGCGGCAGCGGCCATGAGCGCTCGGGCCCGGCGCGCATCGGTCCAGACCGCCGCCGGGCTCCCGGTCTACGCCCTGCGACAGGAGGCGCAGCGGTTCATCCGAGTCCTTATTTCTATCCAGCAGTCGTCGACACCGGCGCGGCTCCTTGTGGCGCGGCTGTCAGCGTCGTCGGTTCTGGGCGCATACATTGCCACCTACGATACAGAGACTGCGTCGTTTGATGCCAAGCGGATGGTGCCAGTCGTGGTTTCTGCGACGTCGCTGGCCGACCGGGTGCGGATGAACAATCTTCGCATCCTGTTGTACTGGCCGCCAGGACTTGATTCAAAGCTCCTCGGTGGAACGCCGTCGGGCAAGGGCGACCGCCGGACGCTGGTACTGGTTCTCGACCTGCGGGTGGTTCCGATCGCGCGTCCGCTCCGCTTCACCTTTGTCTTTACGGTCAAGGTCCACGACATGCTCGCATCACTCAAGCCGGCTGGTCACATCCTTGTTCCGTCGTGCAACTCGCTATTTGACAAGCTTCTGCGCTCAGCGCCGAGCCACAATGTCGTCACCGCCTCGGTCCGACTTGAAGCAGACGGCGATGACGAGTTTCCGCGGTCGGACCATGCGTTTGAACCGCTGGCGTTCTTCCAGACGTGAGGAGCTGCAGCCAGCGCATAATGAACATAACCATTGCGTGGCGCCTGATTGAGAAGCTTTCTTTTTACTGCAAGACGCAGTTATGGCCGGCTTCGGGCTGCATGTTCGACGAGTGCGCCATGCCGGTCTCGTCGATGGCGACGACTTCGGAGCCGCGGCGCGAGTCGCCTGCAGCGAGATCGGCGGTCCGCGAGCGCTTGGCGACGGCGGTGGTGCCGGGACTTGCATCGGTGTTGAAGACCATGTCGCGAGAAAGGGTGGGGTGCGAGGAGAAGAGCTTCTCGACGGCCTTGTGACCCTTGCGGGACAAGCCGTTGTTGCCGAGATGCAGGTAGCGCATAGACGACTTTTCGGCGACGGCTGGCGCAAGGGCTTTGATGCCTGCGTCGCCGATGGGGTTGTCCTCCAGCGAGATGGAGATAAAGCGCGAGTTAGTGATGGCGGTGGCAAGATAGGTCATGCCTGCGTCCGAGAGCACGTTGTCGTTAAGCGAGAGGTACGCCAAGTTGGAGCCCGAGTTGTCGGAGATGGCCATGGCGAGGATGCGGAAGGCGTCGTCGGTGATGCTGTTGGCCGCCAGGTTGAGGGCAGTGATTGAAGTCGACTGGCGCAGGACCGAGCCGAGCTTGGTGACCAGCGGCGAGTTGGGCCGCCCAATCTCCAGCGACTCGAGCGAGAGGCCGGTCAGCCGCATGCCTGCCTTGCCGCCGGTGAGCGCGGTGAAAAGGTCGGTGAGCCCGCGCTCCGGAATAAGGTTGTCGTCGAGAATGAGCGTCCGCAGTGAGATGTTCCGCTCCATCATCTGCGCAAAGCTCGTCCACACCGAAAGCCACTCGGGCGAGAGCGTGGCGAGCGCAGTCTGCCGCGACGACGACGAGCCCGCGAGCCCGCGGACTTGGCCCCGCGGTGCGGCGGCGAGGGCGGCGGCTGGCAGACGGCTAGCGCCTGTGCTCTGGACCACAACCGACTTGGCCGCCGCAGCTTTGGTGGCCTTGGTCTTGGTTGCCTTGGCGGCAGCCTTTTTCTTGGGCTTGGGCGCCGACGAGCTCGAGCTTGACGACGACGACGACGACGACGAGCCCGACGACGACGAGCCCGACGACGACGAGCCCGACGACGATGAGGACGAGCTCGACGATGACGTGCCCGACGATGACGAGCTTGAAGAGGACACGTCCGAGTCCGAATCGTACGAGTCGTAGTCGTCGTCGTCGGGCTCGTTGTGCTGGGAGAGGCCGACGACAGGGGTGCCGTCGACAACCTCCGAGTCAAAACCGTAGTAGTCGGAGCGGTAGGTGGTCCGGGCGAGGCCGAGGGTTTCGAGCTGGAACGTGTCGTCGTCGATGAAGCGGATGAGAAGCGACATGGCGCCCGGTGAGATCTGGTTGCCGGAGAGGTCGAGGTGCTTGAGGTGAGCAAGGTCGCCGAGGACCGAGATGAGGGCCGATGTGGCGTTGGCGTCCAAGTTGACGTCGCGGAGAATGAGACGGTGGAGGGACTTGGACTCGTAGATCCACGAGGCGAGACGGCCGGGTCCGTCGGCTGCGAGGCGGAACTTGGAGATGTCGAGGTGGCGGATGGCCGGACAGCGAACGAGAGCATGGATGAGCGGCGTGCTACCATGGGCGGTAAAGGCGTTGCCCTGAAGGTAGATGGACTGCATGGACGCCGACTTGGCGTTGATGAGCGAGGAGATGAGCGAGACTTCGCGGTCCGAGTACATCTTGCCGGCAAAGTCGAGGGTATGGACAGCGTCGGTGGGCGAGGCATCCTCAAACGAGGGCAAAACGACCGGATCGATAGCTGACATGAGGGCCTGCACCGAGTCCTCGGGCGAGATGCCATACGACGGAATCGAGGTAAGGAGGCCACGCGGACGAACGGTGTTAGATGAGCGGTCAAAGTCGAGGAGGCGAGTGTCGAGGCGGGAGCAGAACGACTTGACGTCTGCAATGAACTGGTTGGTCTCGCGACGGGCCTCGATGAGGCGCTCCTTGAAGGGCACGGCGGCCTGACGAATGATCGAGTTGATGAGGCCATGCATGACAGAGAACGCCTTGCGGACGTCGTGGTAGGCCGAGACGGCAATGGCGTAGTTGTTTCGCCACGAGCGGTACTTGCCGCGAAGTGAGCGGGTCGAGACAATGAGAAGGAGCTCGCGCGAGGCCGTCACATCGATGACGCGCATGGTCTCCTTGATCGAGGTCGAGACCGAGGTGAGCGACTCGAGGAGAAAGAGGAACTGTTGCTTGGCCGGGCCAAACACGAGCAGCTCGCCGCCAAGCTTGAAGAGCTGGCGAGTCTGCGAGAGGAGGACGACCATGGCGGAGAGCTGATGGAGAAGGCCGTGGAGCTTGATAAAGGCGTTGAGGGCGAGCTCGTTCTTGGGCATGAGGAAGAGCTCGCAGATGCCGGTCCGCTTACCGCGGACCGTCTCAACGGCCTTGTCGCGCTTGTCGAGCTGCTTCTTGAGCGCAGCAACCTCTGCAGCCTTGGACTTTTCCTCCAGCTTGGTCACCTTGGCCTCTTCCTTTGCAACCTTTGCCTTGCGCTTCTCGTCCTCGATGCGGAGCTCGTTGATGTACTTGCGCTTAGCCTTGCCTTTGAGCTTCTTAACCTTGGCGGAGGCCTTGGCGCGGGCCTTGGCCTCCTTGGCGGCGGCCTTGGCGGCGGCCTTGTCGGCCTTGGCGCGGGCCTTGTCAGCCTTGGCCTTTGCCTTGGCGGAGGCCTTTTCGGCCTTGGCCTTTTCCTTTTGCGACATCTTGTAGCGGATGCCGTCCGAGCCGACGGCATAGTTGCTCTCATCGTCCGAGTCAAGCGAGTCGTGAGCACGCGAGGCGCCAGGCGCGTCCGAGTCGGAGCCTGCGGCCGAGTCCGAGTCCTCGAGGGCATCGATCCAGTCGGCGTCGCCGGCACCATCGTCGTGACGCCAGAACTCGTCGATGTCCTCGGCCTCGGCAACGGCCGACGAGGTGGTACGGTCAAAGGTGCGGAACTTTGTCTGATGAAAGTAGCGAATGGGGACCGAGAGGTCCTTGGCCTTGGCGTCGGGCAGGCCTGAGCCGGCGACGGTGTCGTTGGAGGTGGGCAAGAGCGAGTCTGGAATGACGGCGTTGCCGTCTTCGTCGACAAACAGATAGGTGTTGAAGTCTGCGTCGGCGATGAGGTCGGTGATTGAAGAGCCCTCCTCGCCGGCGCCCGGGTTGTCGACATCGGTCATGTTCCACGCGAGCGAGACGGTAGGCTGGCGGAAGAGCTCGCGGAGGACGAGGCCCGAGGCCGAGTAGACCATGCGCTTGACGTTGGGGGTGAGCGGATGACGGAAGTTTTCGATGGTGCAGCGGTCGGCAACGTTGGGCGTGGTACGGAAGACATGGCAGCAAAAGGTGATGCCCTGGACCATGACCTGGGCAGCTTCGGCGGTGAGGTTCTCGACCTCGGAGAGGGTCGAGCGGTGGGCAAGCATCTCGTCGATGAGCGGGAGGATGTCGCGGCGGAGGCCGCGCATGAGGACGCCGACGAGGATGACCTCGATGCGCGGCTTATCCTTGATGGTGGGATCCGGGAAGACCTCGAGGCGGTAGACAGACTCGACAAAGGTGAGCATGCCGGCGACCTGGTCGCGGAAGGCCTGATCCATGTCGCGGCGCGACTTGCGCGTCAGCGAGATGAGCCACTCCTTCATGGACTGGCAGAAAAGGATGCGCGGTGAGTTGCGCGAGGCGCCGCGGAGGCGATGGCCGGTGTTGTTGCGCTGATACTCGGAGAGCTTGTCAATGAGCGGCACGACGTGGTCGCGGAGGAACTCGTTGCGCAGCTGGCCATCCGACACACCTTCGACCATTTCGTACGCCGACACGTTGTCCAGCACCTCAAAGCCGTCGTCGGAAGTAAAGAGCGGCGGGACGGGGATTGTGTCGGAGAAGGTAGTCTGCCACAGCGAGGACAGCTGCGCCATGCGCTCACGCTCCTTCTTGGAAAGGTGGTCCGAGCCAAGCCACCGAAAGTGCGGCACGGTGGACGCAGCCTTGCTGGCCAGGGCCGCCGCAGCCATGGTTGGAGGTGGGTAAGGGAGTGGGGTGGGGTGGGTGGGGTAGGGGGGGGGTAGGGGGGGAGGGGGAGTTGGCTTGCAGCAGACGTGGAACAGTTTTTCAGGCGGTGGTCGAGTGACGAGGAGGGGGGGGGGGGGGGAGGGGGGGGGAGGGGTCAGTCACCTGAGCTCAGAGGTTGGAGGTTGAGGGGCCAAGTGGTCGGGGTACTAGACACTGAACACTGGACACTCCTCGCGCCTGTTGTTAACCGGTAGTCTATATCATCTACGAACATGGGTGGCAGTGGCAGGACTGTGTTTGGGGTGGGTAGCTCGGCGGCAGTGGTGATGGTGTGGGCGGCGGTGTGGCTGGCGGTGCTGGCGGTGGTGGCCGAGACGGCGATGGGTGGGACGGTGACGGCCGAGCAGCCGTTCAATGTCAAGCCTAATGGGCGGCTGGAGTTTGTGGCAGTGGAGGTCGGCGGTGGGACGGGGCTGGCGTGCGTGTTCGAGTACGCGGCGGTGGGCGGGACGAACGAGGACTGGCTGGCGGTGGCCGAGGTCGGCGAGCCGGGCTCCGACGGTCAGCCAAGCGTGACGTGCACCTTTGCCCGGCCAGACACGGCGTCGTATCTGTTCTTCAACTCGTTTGCGGCGCGCATGGTCGACGACGACGGCAACGTTGTCGCGGCTTCGCACGCCGAGTTGTGGGATAACTCGGGCATGCTCCTCGAGGGAGAGGCCTACGTGCTCGACGCCGCCGGCGCCCTCGAGAAGGGTCCGGCCTTTGACGGCCTCGTCACCCGAGTTGCGCTCTCGCGGCTGGAATGATGAGGTGGACGGCCCGCGCAGCCTCACAGCGAGGCACGTGCACTCGCGCGGTCAAGAGCGCGCCATATGAGCCGAGACGGTCACAGCGAGATGTTGACGCCGGTAAACTTAGCCTTGAGCGCACGCGGGTTGGCCCACTCGGAAGCAAGATACGAGTCCTCGTCATCTTCGGCCATGGCCTTTTCCTCCTCCTGGCGCTTGTACCAGTACGCAAGCATGTTCTTGCGCTCCTCCTCGGAGATGGGTGGGTCGCGCGGTGGCGCGCCCTGCGAGCTGTTCTTGCGAACCTTGACCACCAGCTTGGTCTTCTCGTTCGTCCGATAAAGTCCGAGAGCACGGCGTCGGTCCCGCGCGTCATCTGCTTCTTGGCCCACCACAGCACAGCCTCGGCCGGGTCAAACACCATCCGCGCCATCGGCGTCCCGTCAAGCACCTCGTTGCCGTCGAGAATGAGCCGGACCGGATCGGTTTCCGGCAGGCCGCCGGCGTCGCCGTAGGCGAGGACCACACAACCCTTGACCCGCTCCTCGGCTTCGGCCAGCGCCTCCATCCGCATCACTTGCCGCCGTTCGGCCAGGCCCGGAGCGATGGCGTCGCGCACATCCGCCGCTGCCCGCCGCAGCAGCTCAGCCATGTCCTCGGGCGGCGGGACGCCGACCCGCGGGACCGCTCCCGCCGCCGCCGCGTCGGCCTCGTCGGTCTCGCCCGCCTCGCCGTCGTCAGAGTCGGTCTCGTCCTTGCCCTTGCTGCTACTCGCCGCCGCCTCGGCGTCGACGTCGACAGGGCCCGACGCCGCCAGGTCATCCACCGCTGCATACGCGAGAGAGGGTGGGGAGGTGAGGAGAGGAGGGAGAGGGGGAGGGGAGGAGGCCTTCGTGAAGGCGCGCGCAGGCAAGGCGCCACTTACCCTGAGCAAGGCGCATGAGGCGGAGGCGGGCGTTGTGGGTCTCAATGACCAGGCGGGTGGCCTCATCAACCGACGATGATGTTGTCGTCTCTACAATAAACTGCGTCTCGACGTCGTTGCGGACGTGGAGGAGCACCATGGTGGGCGTGTGGCTGGGCGTGGAGTGGTGTGGTCGCACCAGCCACCAGCCAGCGCGCGAGAAGGGGGGGGGGGGGGGGGGGGGGGGCGGGGTTGAAGCATGGCGTGACCATAGAAGGCCAACCATAGTCAGCATCATGCCAACTGTAGCTAGTGCTTGCTATTATTACTACTCTCGGGTAAGGGTGAGAGATGCGGCGACGATCGCATCGCGCTGAAAGGGAGCGGTTTGTGGACAGGCGCACCACGCTCGACGACGCCATCAGCCGTGGGACGAGAGCGCTGCGGCGGATGCTGCAGACAGTCGAGTCCAGCGTCTCCTGCAGGGTTCAAGTGCCGCTGTGATGACAATTGAGATCGGTTCAACGCCGAGGTGGAAATAACCGAGAGCGAGTTACGACCGATCCTGCGACGGCGGTCTGCCTCGGCGCCGTTGAAGAGACCATTGGGCGACGACATGGCGTCAACTGATCTAAACCGGGTCAAAGCGCGCTTGGTGCGGACGACGCGCCGGCTACGCCGGGCCTTGTGGTTGTCCTTGCGTTGGGCGTTTCGAAGCGACTCGCGGATCCGGTCATTGACCTCTGTGCGCAGCACAGGCAGGTCGCCCGAGTGCGAGATGGTCTGCCGCATCGCTAGTTGCTCCAACCTGGGTGGCGCAAGTGAGTCGGTCGACTTCGAGTTGGATATTGATACATGAAAGTTGCGCTGGATGCAGTGCAAACTCGGCGGTTGGCTTTCACGCACGATGCGATTGCGCTTCTTCTTGCGCCGCGATGTGACTTTGGTCCTCAACTGCGGCGCGCCGCTTTCAGACACCTCGCAAGAGCTTGCGTTCGAGGCCATGGCGTGCTGATGCAACTGCAGCCTGCTTTCGCACGATGGCGAGGGCGAGCGTGAGACAGCCACTGATGCCAGCGCCGAGTCGGGCTCAACGACGAAGCTTGTCCCGGACATACCGCAGGTGTCATTCTCGGTGTCGGCGCCAGTCGAGAGCGAGGCCTGCGAGATCGAGTTGGCGACCGAGTCGCCCGGCGTGAGCAGGATGGACTTGGTGTGTGGAAGCGCGCAAGAACCGAGAGCTGGAAGAGGTGGACAGGCCCGCCATGCCGTCGGATTGTCCGGCGCCGAGAGGCAGAACATGTCAAAGAGCGCGGTCCCGTTGTTCTCAGCCACGCGCCCGATCGGGGCCGCCGCTGCACCCGACGGCATCGGGCTTGGCAGCAGCGGCAGCGTCTCGGCTGAGCACACAATCTGACCCGGGGTGCCGGCAGACGCAACCGTGTCAGCATGCGACATGGCGGCGCCAGAGTACGCAACGCGGTGCGAGCGCCCGTCAAACGAGCGATGCGGGCAGCAGGCATGGAGGCCGATGCGGACGCGAAGCCCGCGCCAGATGTGGCGCAGAGCATAGACACCAACATCCTGACCCGGCATGACTTGGGTGTGGCACTCAGGGTGGCACAAGACGTCGCGCGGCCACGCCGCCACCGTCAGTTCGTTCTGGATTTCCAAGGCCGCTATCACGGCTGAGCTGGCACTTGCCGCCGAGAAGACCGCGACAAACGAGTCTCCTTCGGTTCGCACAATGTAAGCGCCGTGAGTGGTGAGGACTTGCTGAATAATGGCATCGTGTACGTCCATCGCCTCCTCCATCGCTTCTGGAATGTCCTCCCACAGTCGAGTCGACGAGCCAACGTCAGTGATAAAGACAACGACCGTGCCTGCCGGTGCACTCTTAAGCGCCGACGTGCGCTTCGACTCGATGTGGCCGATGCGGCGCGACCGACGGCGCCGGACGGCAAGGCCTGTGATGGTGACAACAAGAACAAAGAGAAGGAAGCAGAGTGAGGCGCCGCCAATGACAAGCATGGAGACGGATGCTGCTTCGTGAACAACCCGCTGCTGGCAGTCATTGGCACCGCCGCACACACCGCAGGCATCTAGCAAAAGCCCCGAGTTGGGCACAAAGTCACATCCGACACAGGTTGATCCGTTCCCGCCGCAAACGCCGCACACGTCCTTGCTTCGCTCGCCGCCAAAGCACACGCCGCAGCTATCCATCCGCGAGTTTCCGCCGCTGCAAATGCCGCACTCGTCCCGGCGCGCATTGCCGCCGTTGCAGTCGCCGCACGCGTCGCGGGCGGCCTCGCCGCCAAAACACACGCCACATGAGTCTTTGAAAGAATTGGGCTCGTTGGGCGTGGTGCCCTCGACGCACATGCCACAGTCGTCGACGTATGCCGTCCCGTTACACATTCCATAGCAGTCGAAGACCGCAGTACTGTTGGCAATACACGGCGTGGTGCAGGTCGAGATGCCGGCCGGCCCGCCGCACACGCCGCACCCGTCAAACCACACGCCGCCGAGCGGAATCGGGATAAAGTTGCAGCCCGAGCAGCCCGAGCCGTCGCCGCCGCATACTCCGCACACATCGGGCACTTTGCCCGAGTATGGAACGCCGTCACACCCGGCGCACGTCGCGTTGTTGCCGTAGCACACCCCGCAGCCGTCCTTTGCGGCGTTGCCTCCAAAGCAGACACCGCAGTCATCTAGATCGGCGTTGCCGCCAAAGCACACCCCACAAGCATCGCGGTCCGAATCGGCGACGTGGATGGTGCCAGGGCCGGAGCACACGCCACAGCTGTCGAGGAAAGCTGGCGCTGGGCAAGGGCTCGGTGGCGGAGGGGAGGGGGGCGGTGGGGGCGATGGCGGCGGCGATGGTGGCGACGGTGGTGATGGCGGTGGCGGTGGCGATGGTGGTGGCGGTGGCGATGGTGGTGGCGGTGGCGATGGGGGTGGCGGTGGCGATGGCGGTGGCGGTGGCGATGGGGGTGGCGGTGGCGACGGGGGTGGCGGTGGCGACGGGGGTGGCGGTGGCGATGGTGGTGGCGGTGGCGACGGGGGTGGCGGTGGCGATGGTGGTGGCGGTGGCGATGGTGGTGGCGGTGGCGACGGGGGTGGCGGTGGCGGTGGTGCGCAGTGCGGGGTGCCAGGGAAATATGTGCCGTCTGACTGGCACAGAACCTCATCGGCACCATCGGCATTGTACAGCGTGAGCCCGGTCCCGCACGAGAGGAAGAGCTTGTTACCGACCGGACTAAAGGGGCCGCCGGTGGTAGTGTCAGGCGTTACGGTCCCGCCCGTCAGCACCACAACAGGACAGACATTGTAGTAGTCAAAGTCAAGGAACGGATCGCCACCGGAAAAGTCAACGGAACATGAGCCAGTCGGGCACTCACCGACAAGCTTGCGGAAGAAGAGGATGAACATGTCACGGTTGGCATGGAAGCCATTGTTGAACCAGGCGTGCTCGATGACCGACGCCACGTCGGTGCCCGAGACAACCAGCTCGCTGCCGGCAGTGTCGGAAAACGTGATAAACGATGAGTGAGTACCCTTTGGCGCCTGTGAGAGCGAGTAGTCGGCCTGCCAGGCGGCGGCATCAAACTCTAGCTCCTTCATCGAGTCCGGCACTACCAGGTACGTCACGTTGACGATGACATTGTGGCCCGAGGTGAATTCGTGAAAGGTGAGCGAGGCCGTCGCGGGGTCAACCCAGATCCGGCCGGTAGTCGTCGTCACGGCAACATCAAGGAGGTAGTTGACGGCCGCCATCTCCTCATTGGCAGAGGAGATAAAGTCCATGTTGTCAGGATCAGCAAGTATGACTCCATTAGAGACCTGCTCTTGCGCATAGTTGTCCTTGCTGTTGGGTTCGCCGTGGACAGAGACCGCTGTTGCTGCTGCAGCATGGTGCACAGTGAGGACAATGAAAAGAAGGCTCATCAGCACAACCACAACCGGAGCAACAGCCATGGCGGAGCAACTGTAGGCTCTGCGACCGGACCCACGAGACATTATGGAATGCTACAATAAGGCTCCGGGGGGGGGGGGGGGGGGGAGGGAGGGAGGGGGAGGTAGTGGACCCTGTTGCACGGCGGGCTGTCTGCTGTTCTGTGGCTGATGAATGCGTGCAGGAAAAAAAACGGAAACCCTCCGCAACACTGTCCACAACGTCCGCCCGGAAACGGCGGACGGGCCGGAAACGACGGATGGACGCACGGCTGCCATCATTCACTCACGCGAGAAGGCCGTGGACTCGACCCTCGAGGTCGTCGAGCGCATGCTGGAGCTTGCTGACCGATGCTGCAGTATTGTTGGTGGTGGAAGTGGCTGTAAGCGCAGCAAGCGGCGGACGGTCGGGGCCGGTGGGTGCGCCTGAGGTGGCTTGCGCGGCGGCGAGCTCGGCCTCGAGGCTGCGGATCCGCTCAGTGAGTGTGTTGTTCTGAGCTTCTAACAGCGCATTGCGGACGTGGGCTTTGGAGAGAGCGAGCTCCAGATCAGCGTACGATGGCGAGCGCGATGGCGGCGGCGACCGCGGATGCTGGCCGCGCGAGCTCGGCGACGGCGGCGGCGAGAGCGAAGCGCCTGCGCCCGATGACGAGCCGCCAACAGTGGCGGCCGACGATCGCGACGGCTTGAGCAAGATCTGCAGTGCGAGCTTGAGGCGGGCGACGGGGCGGGCGCCAGACGGCGCGATCGAGGACTCGCGGACGGCAACAGGCGCGCCGGACGGCAGCGACGCGGGCTGGAGGAGAACGAGCTTGTAGGACTTTTGCGGGTACTTGTGACGCCGCTCGATGCGTGGCAGCGCGGCGTGGCTTGCGCGCAGATACTCCACATCGACCGCCGCGACACCGACAACGCTACCGTCGTCGACGAGCTCCACCAGCAGCTGGGCATCATCGCCGGCCAGGCCTGGTGCCGCCGGGGATGGCCCCGACGAGGTCTTCATCTCGAACGACTGGTTCCACACCAGCATGCACGAGTCTGCGTCATCATCTGCAGGGCCGGCGGCATCTGCGGCTACCGTGGCGCCGCCATAGGTCAGGCGAAGCGCGGGCGCAGCGAGCTTGGCGCGCAGCTCGGAGAGCGCAAAGACTGCGTGGGCGTGAGGATGGAGCAGGCGGGTGAGGGGAGGGAGGAGGGAAGGGAAAGGAAAGGAAGGGAAGGAGAGGGCAAAGGTAGGCGTACCCTTGACCCGAACCACGGGCATGGGGGGTAGAGTGGCGTGTTTGGTCTTGGCAAGGGCTGTGGGCTGTGGGCAGGAGGAGCGTGGTGCCCCGGGGTGAGCAAGTTGGTCGAATCAAAGCAAATGCAACAAAGGGGGAGGGGGGGGGGGCTGGATTTAGTTGACAGGGTGGTGGAGCAGCGGTCGCCGACCGCAAGCCAGCATGTGGCGGAGCAGCGGTGGTGATGTGGCGGAGTGTTGCGAAAGAGAAGCATCGGACTGCCAACTCAAGTCACACTCACGGAGCCGACCACACTCGAGTCCACAGGAGGAAGGGGAGGGGGGCGATGAAGTTTGCACAAGAAGAAGCAACTGCGGTTGGCCTGGCGCTGGCGACCGGCCTGCTGTATGCTGGCGGAGCCGCTGCGCCGTGGATGGTCCGTACTAAGGCTGGGCGTGGTGCTGGCGCTGGTCGGCTGGCGCTGGCCAATGCCGCTGCCGCTGGGGCCATGCTTACCCTCTCGCTCGCACACATGTGGCCGGAGGGTCTGGAACTGCTGACAGACGGCGACGACTCGCCACGGTGGGCCGCACTTCTCGGTGGCGGGCTACTGGTGGTCGGCGCGCTCATCATGATGGTCGCCGACCTCATCGGTCACATTGGTCACGACCACTCAAAATGCCCTGCGGCAACCGCGGCAGCGGCAGCTGCAGGCCCGGTGTCCGCGCCGCTTGTCGGTGAGGCTTCACCGCTGCGCTTCAGCCCGACGATCAACACCCTTGATCTTGAGAACGGAAGGGCGGACGAGCCAAAGACTGAGAGTGTGCCACAGCGGAAGCGATCGCCTCGGGCGACGCTCTACGCCGGAACCGTCGGAGTGTGCCTCCACGCCATTCCAGCAGGCGTTTCGCTGTATGTGCTTGCGCTGCGGGCGCTTGCGCCAGCACTGCTGCTGGCGGGCGCGATTGCGGCGCACACGGGGGTTGTCGGCTTTTCAACCACCCTCCCGCTAGCAATGGCGCACTCCAAGGTGACGACTGCCGACGTGCTTCTCGTCGGCGTGTCGGCTTTGTCCAACGCCATCGGGGTCTTGCTCGGCATTCTGCTCCCGGCACGACTTGTGCGCAACACTGTGTTCCAGGGCTCGGTCCTCACCACCGCCGCAGGCGTCCTCTCCGCCATGGCCATCACACATCTGCTCCCAGACATGGTCCATGTGGCGCCGCCGTCGTCGTCGCGCTTCCCGACCTCGTTCCGGGTTCTTCTCGCCGCCGCTATCGCCACGGCGCTGATTCTCGCTGCCTTTGATCCATAGCCAATGACAATGTATGTGGCCAAACTGTGCGGGCGAGTGTTCGAGATGTGTGTGGAATGATGCGGCACGCCACAGCATGCCCACGCGGACACACACGAGCACACACGAATGCATAACATACAAGCACACACGTCACTCGACTCCCGCGGGCAACCCCAGGAACTCAAGAAATGATTCGTGTGGCAAGTGCAGCAGGCCAGGCTGTACGGACGCATGCGGTACGGGTGCTTGCGCGGTGCCAGGCTGTGGGAATGGCGGTCCACGCCAGGCAGGGCTCCGCCGTGGCGGCAGCAGCAGCGACGGCGGCGGCGACGGACACGCCTGTGGAAGAGGCCGCAGCCCGGCGGCAGGCTGACCAGAACAAGGTCGAGGCCGATGTGACATTCATGGTCTCACGTCTTGCCGAGGTCCTCAAGGCCGACGGGTACGGCGAGGTAGCGGCGCGTCTGCCGTGGGTCAATGGCGCAGCCGATAGCGCTGCGCCGGCCTCAGCCGCCTTGGACATCGGCCAACGGCGCAAGCTCGTTCAGGCGCTCTCGCTCTCGTTTCAGCTCCTCAACATGGTGGAGGAGAACGCCGCGGCGCAGGGCCGGCGCCATCGCGAGGGTGCGCACGGTCTGGCGGCGGAGAACGGGCTCTTTGGCTCGGTCTTTGCTCGACTGGGCGATCGCGGGCTCAACTCGGCTCAGGCAGCGGAGCTCCTTGCCTCGGTACACGTCGAGCCGGTCCTCACCGCGCATCCGACTGAAGCCAAGCGCCAGACAATGGTCGAGCAGCTGCGCGAGCTATACCTCCTACTCTTCAAGCGTGAGTCGACAGTGTGGACAAAGTGGGAGCAGGACCAAATCACTAGCGACATCCAGGCTGCGCTCGCCATCCTGTGGCGGACTGGCGATCTGCGGCTGAAGAAACTGGACGTCACCTCTGAGCGCCGCGCCGTCCAGGCTTACCTCCGGCACAAGTTTCCGGCCGTCCTTCCGCAGCTCGACGCCCGGCTGCGGACTGCATTTGAGGACGCCGGTTTTGACGGCGCCCTCGTGCGGTCACCCGGCAGCCTTCCGCGCATTTCGTTTGGCTCGTGGGTCGGCGGCGACCGCGACGGGCATCCCGGTGTGACAGCCAGCGTGACCGCCGAGACGCTGCTTGAGCTGCGCCAGGGCGCACTCGACGTCCACCGCGCCGAACTGGAAAAGCTAGTCGCCAAGCTGTCGCTCTCTGCCCGTCGGGCGCCACCGCCATCGATGCTGCTCAATGCACTGGCCGAGGCAAACGAGAACCTTGCGCCGCTGCGCAAGAGCCTGCCCGCCGGGGCTTGGCCGACCGAGCGCAATCCGGGCGAGCCGTGGCGAGAGATGATTGGATACATGCTGCTGCGGCTGCCAACGTCTGCCGAGGCTCTCGCATCGGGTCTCCACTACACGTCGCCGGCGGAACTGCTGGCCGACTTGCAGATACTGGGCGCCTCGCTCGACGCGGTCGGTGCGGGCAAGATTGCCGATACACACGTGGCACCAATAGAGCGTGCTGTCCAAGTCTTTGGCTTTCATCTTGCAGCCCTCGACGTCCGTGAGAACTCGACAATGCACGAGCATGCGCTTTGGTCACTTCTTTCTGTCGGCGGTGTCTCTCTCCCACCGAGCGCGGGCGAGTGGGACGAGGCCAGTCGGGTGGAGGTGCTTAATCGCGAGCTGGACTCGCTGCGCCCGCTCGCCCATCCCCACGCCGCCCTCGCGCCGCAAGCCAAGACTGTTCTGGATGCGCACCGTGTTGTTGCGCGCCACGCATCTATCCACGGCATCGCAGGTATTGGCTCGTTCATCGTCTCGATGACTCGCTCGCTCTCGGACTTGCTCGCCGTTTACGTTCTCGGCAAGGAGTCCGGCCTTGTCGGCCCGCCAGCAACGCTCGCCGAACACTTTGGCTCGGGCTCGGGCTCGCTCGGCGAGCTGAAGACCGAGCCGGGCAACGCATGCATAGTTCCAGTGGTTCCGCTCTTTGAGACCGTCGGCGATTTGGAGCGGTCGCCGGAGATCATGAGCGCGTTTCTTGCCCATCCGGTGACACAGCGCTCGCTTGCGCTGCAGCAAGCAATTCACGGCTACGACCGGCCACGATGCCAGGTCATGGTAGGGTACTCGGACTCGTGCAAGGACGGCGGCATTCTGTCGTCGCAATGGCATCTCCACGTAGCGCAACGCAAGCTCTCGCAGGTGTGCGCAGATGCTGGTGTCGACGTTGTCTTCTTCCATGGCCGCGGTGGAACCGTCTCACGCGGCGCCGGACCAACACACCGGTTCCTCGACGCGCTCCCGGTGGGCGGCCCCGAAGCCGCCGCCATCCGCGTCACTGAGCAAGGCGAGTCGATTGCCGCCAAGTACTCGAACGTTGGGACGGCAACGTACAACCTCGAGCTGCTCACCGCGGGCGTGACTGGCGTCGCCGCCCGCGGCGCGAGCGCGGCCAGTACCGAGCACGAGCTGGCGCCGGTCGTCGAGGACCTCGCCAAGCGGGCACATTGGGCGTACGCCGAGCTCATCTCACACCCACAATTCATGACGTACTTTTCCGAAGGCACGCCCATTGACGCGCTTGAGCACGGCGTGTTTGGGTCGCGCCCATCGCGGCGGACCGGCCAGCGCACGCTTGCCGACCTGCGCGCTATCCCGTGGACCTTTGCGTGGACCCAATCGCGAGTCTATCTCCCGTCGTGGTACGGTGTCGGCACGGTTCTCCACGAGCTTGCCGAAGCCGAGCCGCACAACTTTGAACGGTTTCGTGCTGCTGTACGTGACTGGCCCTTCCTCCAGTACGTCATCGGCAACATCGAGGCCTCGCTTGCCTCGGTCTCGCTTCCGATCGTCCGCGACTACGGCTCGCTGGTCTCGTCGGACGCCGCGCGCGACGCCATTGGCTCTCTCATTCACAACGAGTTTGTGCGGACCGACAGCGTGCTGCAGGTTCTGTACGACGATGTTCCGCTTGCGCTCCGTCGGCCGCGCATGCACCACACTGTCCAGCTTCGGGACCGCGGCCTTCGCGAGCTGCATGCCGAGCAGATCGCGCTCCTCAAGCACTGGCGCGGTCTCGTGGCGTCAGGCGACTCTGTCAGTGCCGACGCCGTCTTGCCGCCGCTGCTCTCAACTGTCAACGCCATTGCCTCTGGTCTTCGCACGACCGGGTGATGACTTGTAGCCGTCTACTAGCTTGTACTGATACTGCGACTCCCAGATGTTGTGCACCTCGCCGTTGGCGCCATGCCCGATAAAAAAGGTTTATCGACGCTAGCTCCTCATCTACGATGATGCTGTCCTATCCAACCACATGACCAGTTTACCTGCAGAGGATGCTCAGACATTGTGAGGAGTAAGATGCTGCCGTGCTGCACACGCGAGAAGGGGGGCTGAAAGGGTTGTGAAGTGCGAGGAACAAGATTGGCCGATAAAAACAACTCCCAATTCTAACTATATACTTATATAAATGCAAAACTAAAATAATATGTCTTTACAACTTTAAAGTGCTATTTTTAATGTATAAATAGATTTCAATACCAAAATATATAAAAGCATTATTTTTCAAGTTTTGGGCCCGTTTCTTGATGCTTTTTGATGCTTTTCAGTGTTGATCGTACTACTCTCGCCCCCTCCCCCCTCACACACACATGCACACACACACAACGCACATACCTTGTTCTCTTACCAGCCCCACACACCCAACTCTTCTTGCCCCCCCCCCCCCCCCCCGTACCATACACATATGCTCCGCCGCTGCTCCACCGCCCTCGCAGGCTTTGCTCCGGTCGCCTGGTCGTCGTCGTGGGCGCATCCGCAGCTGCGGTATGCCGAGCTCGACGCCATCGTGAGCCAGGATCCGGCCAGCCACACGCCGATGCCGCCGCCGCCATCGCTGCCGCCGGTGGACGAGCCGGCTGCGGCGCTACCGGACTCGGCGCATCCGCTGCGGAGGTTGTCACTGAGGCGCCCGGCACGGCGCTGCCGGCCATTCTCAGCGCGCCACCGGACGAGGCCGCGGCTGCGCTGCGGTCTCTCTTCTGCATCGACAGCAAGTGGGGCACGTTTATCAATCACGGCGCGTTTGGCGGGGTGGCAACGCCGCTGGCAAAGGTGGCCGCCGCGTGGGAGGCACACGCCTCGTCACAGCCGCTCGCCTTCTTTGATCGCGAGCTGTTTGGCCGGCTCGGCGATGCCACCCACGCACTGGCCTCGTTTGTAGGCGCATCACCGCAGGATCTGGTCCTTGTCCCCAACCCGACCACCGCCATCAACGCACTTGCTGCCGCTACTGCGTCGGCTTCTCCCGGCGCACCCATTCTTGTCCTCTCGTCTGTCTACGCATCGACGCCCAAGATCGCTCGTGCCCTCACCGGGACCGAGCCGCTCGTCGTCGACATTCCGCTCCCCTCGCTCCATCCGTCGTTTGTGGCCGCTGCCGTGAGTGCAGCCATGGATGCTGCGCCGACTCGCCCTGCGGCGGCGATCATCGACCACGTCGCGTCCAACTCGGCGCTTGTTGCGCCGCTGGACGAGCTGGCAGCCGTCTTTGCTCGCCACGACGTACCGCTTGTGGTTGACGGTGCCCACGGCCTGCTGGCACAAGATCTAACGCTTACTCCGGATGCTTGTCTCTCTCACTGGTACGTCGGCTCGTGCCACAAGTGGTTCTCGGCACCGCGTGGCGTCGGCTTCCTGTGGGCCAACCCAGAGCGGGTGAGCGAGGAGGCGCGCGACGCGGTGCTACCACCGGTCATCTCGCATGGCTACACCGGTCCGCAAGCAACGCTCCACGCCAAGTTTGGCTGGGACGGTACCCGCTCCTACGCGCCAGCACTGACGCTGCCGTATGCAGTCGCACTGTGGGAGGCGCTCGGCGTTGACGCTGTCCGGCAGCACATGCACGGCCTCCTCCGCGCTGCCTCCGAGCTGCTCTCAGCCGAGTGGGGCACCGGCGTCCTGGATCCGCCGGCGGTCCACAACGGAACAAGCCTGGCCACTGTCGAGCTTCCGCAGGCAGTTGTCGGCCACAAGGTCGTGACCGGCGGCCGCGATGACGTTCCTATCGGCGTCCTGGCTGACGTGCTGCAAGACTGGCTCTTCCACGAGCACAACATCGAGGTGCCGGTCAAATCGCGCGACGGCAAGCTCTACGTCCGCATCTCGGCACATATCTACAACACCATGGACGACTATACACGGCTCGCCAGCGCCGTCCGCACCCTCCTGCCTTCGATCCATGCGTTCCGGCTGCAGTAGGCTACGCCGGCTGGCGGCACACGCCATGTGAACAAACTTCAATCAATGAGCAAAGGGCTCGGCTAGCCCTGAGCCTGGCCGATGCCGATAGCGTCGAGGAAGAGGCCGTACTGGATGCGGGCCTCCCCGTTGGGATCAAACGAGCGCATGAGCGTGAGCAGCTCCTGCCCACCCAGCTTGATGCCAAGCTCGGCAAGGCATGCCTGGAAGACGGCCGGCTCGACCGAGTTCCGGCCGGCAGCCGACGAGGAAAAGGCGGCAATGACCGAGTCGGGTGGAACCTCGCCGGCAACAAGCTGCGAGATGACGTTGTCGATGACGTGCGGAAGCGACGAGTGCGGGAACTCGGCCGGGCGCTCCTCCATGTACGAGAGGGCAAACTCGTCGGCGTCGATGAGGAGGAAGCGGAAGGAGCGGACCGAGACAACGGCGCCGACGAAAAAGTCGGCCGGCGTGTACGGCGAGCCGTCGGGCTTCTTGGCCTCGTCGCGCTCGATAAACTTGCCACCGAGCCGGCCCGAGTTGCGAACCGGCGGCTCAAAGACTGAGACGGTGTCGTTGGCGAGGTGGAACGAGACGACAAAGCGCCGGTCGCGATCGACGCGCGACGGGTCGACAAACTGCGCGGCAAAGCGGAGAGCCTTGCCCTCGTTGGCTCGCATCTTGGCCATGTCGCGCCGCGGCGGGCGCGGCATGAGTGAGTGCATGCACGCCAGCGAGTCGGCTTCCGAGCCGTAGCCGGTCGGCGGCGGGATCTCGCGCTCCAGCACCACGCCGGTCCGCCCCGAGTTGGGCGGCGGCAACGGCGCCATGTCGGCCGCGCTCAGGCCAAAGTTCTCCGAGTACCACGAGCGAGTAAACGAGTCCATATCATAGATCTTCATCGGCCGCCCGTACACGTTGATAACCTCGCCGATGTGAAAGTCTGCCGGCGTGTAGTACAGCGCCGGGTCGTGCTCCGCCCGCGCAGAGCCGACTGGCGGGAGGCCGAGCGGAATCTTGGGCAGCCGCGAGGCCTTCATAAACTGCGGCACCGGATCGCGGCCCGAGTTCTGCGGAATCTGCTCACGGACCTCGACCTTGTCGGTCGCCAGGTAGTAGTTGAGCACCATCAGCCGTTCGTCGCCATACATCGACGGCGTGTCATCCCAAATGCAGAAAAACCGCAGGACCTTGCGGTCGTTCTCCAGGAATTGCCGGAGGTTGGACCGCACCTTGACCGCCCCGTCGATCGATGTGCCGAGACTCGCGCTCCCGCCTACCACCGAGTGCGCGCCGTCAGTAACCGCCCGCCGATGGCTCATGTACGGATCCGCAGGCACTCCCTCGTCAACAGGCACCTCAATGCCGAGCTTGCCCAGAAAGTCGCGCGTAAAGCCGTCGGCGCCGGTGAGCCGGAACGTCTTGGCGTACACCACAATGTCCATCCCCACGTTGAGATCGCCGACTGTGTAGAAACGCCCGTCCGCAGGCTCGCCAAGCGGCACCTTGTGCCGCCGCACAAGCGTGCCCTGCGGGAGGCCCGAGTTGCCCACCTTGGGCTCCACAATCTGCAGCGTGTCGTCCGCCAGGTAGAAGAAGACTTTGACCGGCCGCACCCGGTACGCCTCGTGCCGCGCCTCGGTCACGCCCTCCATAAAGTAACCGTCAAACGCAAGGACCTGCCGGTCAAACGCCACCCACGCAGGCAGCGCCTCACCGTTCCCAGCTCCGCTTGTTGGGTACAACGCCGCAGACGTGCCGGCCCGCGCACGCGCAGATGCAATGCTCGCCGTCGTCGGCTCGCCGCCGATCTTGGGCTTGCTGTCGTCCACCACACGCACCGCCCCGCCCATGGTAAACTGTAGCGCCTGCGACTTGTGGAACCGCTTCTTTGACGGGTCCGTGAACGAGTTCCCCGGGAGGAACGGCACCCGAGTCGACCGCCGAGTGCTCGCCATCCTTCGTCTCTGTCGCTGTCGTCAGTGCGGTGTGCCGCTACGAGGCCAGAAGCACAAACCCGCTGCCGGTGCTCGTGTCGCCAACGGCCGTCCGCCGCCCGCCGCAAGCCATCGCCAAAATAAACTTTCAATAATCCAGCAATCCGACACGAGTCTGGTCAGCAGACGCATTTCGTCAACCGGTGCCACCAGACTGGCGACCGGCCACCTTGCCCGAGCTCGCCCTCTCCGACGACGACCGGCCACACCTCGCTGCCTCACTCGACCATGAAGTTTGTCGTTGTCGGCCTCGTGGTGCTCGCCGCTCTCTGCGCTCTCGCTGCCGGCGAGGGTGCTCAGCTCCTTGCCCGCAAGGACATTCTCTCCTCCACCGTCGTCAAGGACCGCGACATGACCATCCAGTTTACCGTCTTCAACGTCGGCTCCAGGTACGTCGCCGACCGCCCGATCCTCCCCCCTCTTTTTTTGTCTGCCCACACCGCTGCTGGCCAAGCCCGTTCTCGCGCCCTACCGCCCCTGCGCCACACCTACTGCCCAGCTCTGCTCTGCTTAGCTCTCTTGGTCTTCCCTGCCTCTCGCTCCCTGCGCTCCCGTCTTTCCATCCCCCCACATCCCTCACCACCCCCCTCCCCCCCCCCCCCCCACTCACCCTCTCACCGCCACCCGACACTCTCGCTTCTCGCATCCGCAGCACGGCGTACGACATCAAGCTTGACGATGTCGAGCACAACGACGAGCTGTTCGAGCTCAAGGTCGGCCTCCCGTCTGTCTCGTGGCCCGTCCTCCCCGCCGGCGCCAACCTCACCCATACCTACGTGGTCGTGCCCAAGTTTGAGGGTGTCATCCCCATCGGCGGCGCCCGCCTCTCTTACCGCCCTACCCGTGGCGCCGATGTCAAGTACGCCGTCACCTCGGCGCTCGGCGAGCTCCCGGTCAACTCGCTCCAGCTCTTCCGCAAGATCCACGGCGGCAACTACGAGGTCTTTGGCAAGTTCCTGGGTGCGGCTGTTGCCACCCTCGTCTTCCCCTTCCTCCTCTGGGCCTACGCCCGGGCCACCACTACCGATGGCCTTGCCAACTCGAAGCGCTAAATCCTCACCCTGGCGACAGCACACCGATAAAAGCTGACGATACAGCCCCTCCCTCCCACCCCCCCCTCCAGCGTGCTGGACGCATCACTCCGCCCTGCCACTAGCCGAAATCCCTCCCGCCCGGTGGGCCCGCGGCCAGGCCGCTTTCGCCGGCACCTCACTTCGGACACATGCACATTCTGCAGACTCGCCGCAAGGCTGTCGGCATCACCGCATGCGTGGCCGGACTCCTGCTCATTGCTGCTGCCACCACTGTCTACCTCCTCATCCCCTACCTCGTCCAGAAGAAGATCAACGTAAGTCCCCCCGGTGACTGCCGCTTGCCTCCTGTCCCCAGTCCTCCGGCCCATGCTGACGACGTGCCGCGTGACTCACTCGCTCCCGCCGCCACCTCCACCACCAAACCACCCTCTCCCTTCTCCCCGCCACCCACACTCACACTCACGTACTTCCCCCCTCCCCTCCCCCACCCACCCACCCTCGTCACACAGGATGCGGTGGTCATCGACTCGCCCAACTCGTCTGGCTATGACAACTGGGTCTCGTCCTACCACTCGGGCAACTCGGAGCTCCAGTCGTACACCTTCTTCAACCTGACGAACGCACCCGACGTACTGGCCGGCGCGGCGCCGGTCTTTGAGCCCGTCGGCCCGTTTGTCTACCGCCGCAACACAGTCAAGCTTGACCCCAAGTTCCTCGATGGCGGCGCTCGGGTCTCGTTCAAGGAGATGTCGCAGTACTCGTTTGTGCCGGAACAGTCCATCTACGATCAGCTCGACAAGGTTCTCCTCACCAACTACTTTCCCTTCTACCAGGCCGCAGTCAACAAGGCCGGTTCTGAGAAGAACCTCCTCTACGGCTTCCTGCCCACCCTCCTTTCGATCACACTCTCCGAGATCGGCGGCCACCTCGGCAACGCGGACAACACCACCGCCGCCATGATCCAGTGGGGCTCGCTCGGCATCACCGGCGCCAACCTCCCATCGCTGCCCTCTCTCGAGCTCCGCGCCCCGCCTGTCCGCAACATCTCGCTCGACCTCGCCGCCACCCATTCGCTCCTCTTTGGCGCCTCGGGCCTCATCTCAGACGAAACCGCTGTGACCACCTTCCTTGGCCTCCTCGCCCGCCAGGACATCGGCTCCATCCTCGCCAAGTGGCCCGAGCTCGGCACCCCGGACAATGTCCTCACCCTCGCCGCCTACTTTGAGCACCTCATTCTCGTTCGCGGCCTCGACTTTGCCGAGCAGGTCTTCTTCCAGGGAGGCCGCGGCACCGGCCTCATCGTCACCCACACCGTCGAGCAGTGGCTGTGGCAGTACGAGGACCCGCTCCTTGCTGCTCTCGACCCGTCTATCGCCCACCTCGCCCATCTCCAGTTCAACGACACATCGGCCAACATCACCCGCGCCACCAAGCGCGACACCATCACCGCCACCGGCAAGGGCAACCTCGCTGCGCTCAACACCTACCTGCAGTGGAACGGTCTCACCGAGGTTTCTGCATACACCCCGCCTGGCCCGGTCCGCGGGACCAACGGCCACTCGTTCGGTCCCGACATCCGACCACCGCAGCCGCTTGAGGTCTTTGTCTCGGAGATCCAGCGTCCGCTGCAGATCCTCCACGTCCGCGATACCAAGGTCAAGGGCATCGAGGTCTTCGAGTACCGGCTCAATCCTGCAGAGTTGCAACCGAACGAGCAGTATGTCTCGCCTGTTTACGGTCTCTTCAACATCGAGCCCATTTCCCACGGCATCCCGCTTGAGATCTCAAAGCCATTCTTTCTCAACGCCGACCCCGAACTGGCCCGCGCCGCCGGCCTCACTCCCGACTACGGCCGCGACTCAACCTTTCTCGACGTCGAGCCCATGACCGGCGTCGCCTTCCGGGCCTCACTCAAGCTTCAGATCAACACCCGCATCAACTCGAACCTGACACAGGTCTTCTTCCCGCACGCCGCCTCGGGCGTTTGGCCACTCCTCGCCATCCACCGCGACGGTATCATCTCCGACTCGGACGCAGACTCGTTCAAGCGCACCATCCGTGCCGCCCTCATCGGAGCAAAGGTCGGATTTGGTATCGGCCTCACCCTCGGCATCCTCAGCCTCGCCCTCGCTGCCTACCTTGCCTTCCGCCCAGCTTGCGGCTCGGGCGTGCCCTCGGGCGGCTACGATGACCTCGACGCCGCCGCCGCATCCGGCCCAGCCGGAAAGCGCGAAGATGCCGCTCTTATGGAGGGCTTCCGCTAGTGCCTGCCCTCTTTTCCCACCCCAATGGATGTCGAGCCTTTGGCCTCTAAAGTTAATAACCATGATCACCCGTCCAGCGGCTTGGCCCGCTTGGCCGACGGCGCCTCGCTGCTGCCTCCGCCTCGGCTTGCTCCGCCGCCTTCGACCTTGACCTTGCGCTTTCCACCCGCCACACTCCCGCTAGCCCCTCCCCCGCCTCCGACCTCGGTCTTGCCCGCCTGCCCATGCGCAGCGAGAAAGGCCATGACCTTTGCGCCGGCTTCTGCGTCGGCCGGCTCGGCCAGGTACTCGAGAACCTTCTCGAGCTGCCCCAGGCACGCCGCCACCTCGCTGCTCTCGCCCATCTCTGCCAGCCTATGCAGTCTGCAGCCAACTCCTTGGTCGTGTCTCGCCCTCTGGCTCGTTGGTCCGAGGTCCTGCGAGAGGCGTGTGCGCTAGCCCCAGCCGAGTCCCCTCACCCCTCTCCCACCTACTCTCCCGGCGACAGGAGTCATGGCCGCCTCCGCCCCCGCCGCTACCGCTGCAACACCCTCGCTCTCCACCACCCTCCGCCGCCTCCACTCGGCCGACCACTCGCTTGCTGCTCGCATCCTGTCCATCGCCGCAGACGCCGACTGGGTGGCCGCTGTGGCAGAACTCGCCCCACACGGCACGCCGGTCTTTGCCAACCTCCGCTGCGGCGCCTGGTACGCGCCGCAGGGCGCGCCGACATGCTACTTCAAGTCAACCGACGGCCACACTGGCCAGTGGGCCTTCTCACTCCGGAGGCTCAATGCCCACGTCGCCATCGAGGCCGCTGCCGCCGGCGCTGCCCTCATCGTCGACGCCACACGCCGCGGCAAGCCACTACCTGACGCTCTCTCCAAAACCGTCCCGCTCTGGGCCGCCGTCCTCAATCGCGCCGCCGGCTGGGATCCTGCCGCCAACTCCCACGCCGCTCTCCACACGCCGCCAGCTATTCCGGCATCCGAGGCCCACGACATGGCCGCCTGTGTCGCGCCGGCCGCCGATGCCCTTGCCGCCGCCGCCGACCTCTCGCAACTCACAACCGCCCTCGCGCACAAGCCGCTGCGAGTTCTTTGGGTTGCTCAGACACACCGCAACCTCTCCGAGTGGCCCGCTCTCACCCATCCAGCCACCCTCCCGTTCATCCCCATCATCTGCGTCTCGGCCTCTGCGCCCCGCGAAGAGTTGCGGGCTACGGCGCTGACGCCGAGCTCGCTCTCGTTCTCCACCACCTACACTTTTATCCAAGGTGCCGCCGACGACGAAGAGCTCTGGGCCCCGCCCGGACTCAACGCCGAGTCGTTCCATGCCCGGCTCCCAGCCCTCCCTAATGCCCGCTCGCTCGACGAGATCGCTACCCTCTTTGCGGCTCCGTGGACGCGCCCCACACACGCTCTCGACCTCGCCCTTGACACGCCGGCGTCGTGTGCAGACTTGGACGGCTTGCCGTTTTTAAGATCGAGCCGACCGCCTCGCCGCTGACTGCGGCCGCCATGCATATCGCACGCACCTCGGATTTGCCACAGGAGCTCTGGCCTGCTCTCGAGGCTGAGACCCCAGGCTTGCTCGTCGTCAATGTATCGGACGAGCTCGCGCCTGGTGAACTACAGTTTGCAAATCCTGACTGCGATGGGCATCCGCCGCCGGGGTGGCTCTTCCTGAACGTGCCTGTGGGCAAGAAGCACCGCTACGCTCTCGAGCGCGCCATCCCGCGACTGCTCGACTCGCTTGCTGCTGCCACCGCCCACGATCCTCCGCTCCGCCTCCTCTTCCACTGCCCAGACGGCCACGACCGATCTGCTGCCGCCGCGCTTGCCGCGCTTGTTGCCCTCAAGCATGGCCTTGCTGGTGTTTCCAAAACCACCATCCGCGACACCTACGTTGAGCTCACCCAGCTGTTCCCCTCGGCCCGCGTCGCCCGTGCACACATGAAGCAGGTCAATCGCGCCTTCACTTCGCAGTACGACCAGCATGCGTAGTTCCTAACACCTGCTTACTTTATGTAAAGCATCGCCGGGCCAGGAGCATCAAGGCGAAGCAAACTACTCGTCTGCCTCCTCGGCATTCTCCTCACCATCGGCGGCCTCAGCGTCAGCCTCAACCTCGGCCTCAGCCTCGACCTCAGCCTCAGCCTCAACCTCAACCTCGGCCTCAGCCTCGGCCTCAGCCTCGGCCTCAGCCTCGGCCTCAACCTCGGCCTCAACCTCAGCCTCTGGCTCGGCCTCGGCCTCCGGCTGCGGCTCGGGGGCGGCAGCAGCGGACGTCGTCGTCGTCGTCGTCGTCGTCGTCCCCAGATCGGCCTGGCCCTCAAACTTGGAGCGGTCAAGGATTGTGTCCTTGGTGTTCTTGCGGGCCTCGGAAGGCGGGGCAACCATGGGGCGGCCGGAGAGATCGACAGGAGTGGTCTTGGGCAGGGCCTTGGTCTCGTAGACAACCGGGCCGATGTTGCCCTCGGCCTCTTTCTTGGAGTAGTTCTCAAGCGCACGCTTCTTGATCGAGCCTCCCGACGACTTGTAGCCGCCCTTGTTGGAGCCGGTGTCGTAGTCGGCGCCGCCGGCCTTCTTGAGCTTGGCGCGGATGATCTTCTCCGAGCACTCGTTCTTCTCCTCAGCGCGGAGCTCGATGTGGAACTGGCCAAAGGCCTCGGTGACCGAGGGCTTGTGGACGGTGACCCGACCGCGGGCCATGCCACCAACGTTCTGGCCGACCCAAGTGATGGCCACAAACTTGATCCGCTGCGACTCCTGGTCGCCGTCGGTCAGCCGCAGCAGGGCGTACGTGATCTTGTCGTCGGTGAGGAAGGCCATGAGCTCGTCGTACCCGCCCTCGCCGGTGGCGTCAACCTGCAGCTTCTTCTTGGACTCGTAGCCGAGCGCAAGCCTATTTCCCTCCACACACACCTCTTGGTGAGTTTGTCCTCCGCTCCTAGCCTCCTACCGCCCCCAATGGACATCCCCTTCCTCCCGCATGCCGCCGTGCGGGGCCAATTCGCAAGAAATGGCAAAAACTGCTCAGGCATGCCACAGCAGCGGCACACAGCCCCGACCACGGGCCCTCCTGCCCACCACACCCACGTACCAGTTGGTGGCCGAGCCGTCCGACTTGACATCATCCACAGCAGCAGAGATCGCGGGGTTGCTGACGTCGCACATGGCTGTTAGATGGGAGTTAGATAAAAGGGAGGGAAGTGGAGTGTCTCTCTTGGCCAAGGCGAATAACAAACAGCCACCAATGACCGCACCGAGCAGACAACCAGCCTTCCGTCGCATGCGATGATGTCACATCGGCCTCGGTGGCACGCCCACGGCGACACCGGTCATGCCCAACGAGCTGTCAGGCAATGGAAGCCTTCTATGCTATGTCGTTGTCGACGGAAGGTGAAGCCTGCGCGCGATGGTCGCAATTGGCCTTGCTAGCGGGCATGCCGTTGAGCGGCAAAGAAAGCAGGCCGGAGACCATCACCAGCAACGGAGTCGAAGCAACGCACAAACGGCCGGCCGAACCGACCAAGACCCACGCTGACTCGAGACCAAAACCAGACGGTGCAGCCTCTGTCCGCGGCTGCCGACTTGCCTCTTCCACACTTGCCTCGTCAGCCAGTATCACTGGCACTCGGTCCTTCCCTGCAGTCTCGTGAGACGTCCGCCTCTGTTGCCTTTCGCCACCGCATTGTTCGCTTGGCACTTTCTGCTCTGCGCTCGCAGCTGACCAGTGCTTCACCTCGCTGCCTCCTCCTCCCCTACCATGTCCGACGCCGAGTCGTCTGGCGCGACGACAGACTATGACGACCTTGATCTCGATCTCGATCTCGATCTTGATACCACAGCGTCCGATCTGACCTTTGCCATGATGTCGGACGATACCGTCATCGGTGACGCGCCGCAGCACTCGGTCGGCTCGGTCGCTGCGTCGCGGCTCAACTACGACGCTGGTGGCGACATCAACTACGCCGATCGGCTGCAGGATGGCACCGACGTGGCCAAGATCCGGAACGACCCCGTTATTCAAGCCCGCCTCCTCGAGGTCCTCACCCTCTCGGCGTACAAGCGGCTCAACGACGAGGGCGCCCGCAAGTTCTCGCTTATCCGCGCCATTCGCTCGTCGTACGTGGCCCAGGGCCTGTGGATGGTCTTCCTCTCGCTTGTCTTCCTCGTCTTCTCGCCGCTCATCCTCGCTGGTCTCCTCGTCTATCTCCCGTGCCGCATCTTTAACCGCTCCGGGTACAGCGACCCGCTCAAGTCGTACATCTTTGTCCTGCTCTTCACCGCCGTCCCCGTCGGCGCCTTCACCAACGTCGTTCTCGCCATCACCACTGACGTCTCGGTCTCGAAAACCGAAACGTTCATGCCACTCGTCCTCTACTTGACCATCACCGTCACCCTCGGCATCATCCGCGGCGTCAACGAGCGGGTCCGCGGCCGCCGGCGCCGCGAGTTTGAGCGCGGCGATGAGGAGTCGACATCGTCGTCGTCATCCGGCACGTTTCTCAGCGACTCGTCAGCTTGCTCTGCTGACCAGCTGATGTACATGCTCGACAAGAATCATCGCGATGTGCTCTACCAGGAGCTGACCAACAAGCTCGTTTTCTTCATGAACGACCAGACCGAGGTCCTCACCTCGTCGACCTTTATCTTTGCCACTGCTACCTTTTCGTTTGTCGTCGCCGTCGCCCACGCCTTTGTCGGCCCCATCTTCCGCGCCGTCAACGACGACGGCCGCGACTTTTACGGCTCTGTCGGCTCGACGGTGATTCAGGATCGCATTGTCCTCTTGGTCTCGATCTACTGCATGGTCATCATTGGCACCGGCTTTGTCTTTGCGGTCATTCTCTCTGCGGCCGAGTTCTGGGAGCGGACTCGCAAGTACTCGTTCTACCACGGCCTTGCCGACGGCTCGGTCCCGCTCTTCCGCGACGCCATCGACTACCGGCTGGCCTTTATCAAGCCGCCCGACAAGAAGGATCTCGGCGGCCGGTTCCAGCTCAAATTCGACAAGCCGTTCAACCTCAAGGTGTGGATCCTGCTCCGCGAGCAAGTCCGCGACATGGGCAGTGACGAGATGGCCACCATTCGCGAGTCGACAGTCCTCATCGCGCTCTTCTATCTCCTCATCTTTGCCCTCATCATGTTCTACCGCGTCGTAGTCATCTCGGTTGCTCTCGACGAGCTCGCCGTCTTTACTCTTGTCGACTCAATCTTCTTCCTCGCCTACCTGCTCTCGGTTGGCCAGGCCGGCATCATCCTCACCTCGTACAATGCTCGCGACAACGATCTTCTCCGCAACTCAGTCCTCCAAGTCCAAGGTCACCGCGACAAGCTCGAGGTCAAGCTCCGCGAGAAGCGCGATGCCCTGACAAAGTCGCGTGACAAGCGCGACGCCAAGAAGGACAATGACTCGGCCTTCAAGAAGTACACCAAGCAAATCAAGAAAAAGAACAAGGAAATCGCCGCTCTCACCCTCGAAGCCGACCAGGACGACTTGCTCATCTCTACCATGCGCACGCTTATGGAGTCCAACGCCCACGAGGATCCTGTCAAGGTCTCCGGCATTCCGCTCACAACGGATCTCCGCAACAAGCTCCTTGGCCTGGGCGTCTCGTCCATTACCGCAGGTGCAGTCCGCGTCTTCAACATTGCGTAGTAGGCTTCAGCGGGCAGCACGTAGTTTTAGCTTTGCCCCGCATTCCCGCTCGACTCCGTGACGGCCGCGGCCTGGGCAAGGAGCCGGTCGACGCCGGTGATGCGGACAATCCGCCCGTTAAACTCGCTCGAAATGTCCGCCTCGATGTGGTTCTTGAGCTCGCGAATCTCGCACGCACATGCCTTGATGAGCGCCGTCGTCTTGGCCTTGGACGCCGCAAACCCGCTTCGCTGCTCGCCAAACGTCGCCACCTCGGCCTCTAGCTGCGCTGCCTTGTAGAGCTTTGAATGCAGCTCGGCGGCGATCCGCGCCACATATCGTGGCGAGCCGTCGATTAAAAGCAGCTCCTTGATCTCCTTTGCCTCAAACGCCCGGCTCGCCACCGCAAGTGCATCGCGCTCCTCCGCCACCTCGTCGAGCGAAACGCTGTTGAGGCGTTGCGAGAGGAGGATGCTGGAAGCAACGCGGTCGTCGGATGCCTTGACTTCCTGAACCTGGCCCATCAGCTCGTCGAGAAATCCGTGGACCTCATCTAACTCTGCGAGCAGCGCGGAGCGGACCTGCAGCTGGCGCAACAGCACACCAATGCTCGAAGACTCGCCCAGCGCCCCGACCTCGAGCCCGATCGCGCTCGCAAGAGCCCCGAGCCGCTCACTTGATACGCTCATCAGTCTGTCCTCCACACGCTCGCAAAACCAGCTGAGCACTGGGAGTGGATGGCCGTAGCGGGCCATTGCAGACGCTGCCGCCACTCGGGTGCGCTCGTCCAGCGCAGACAGCAGCGCTTGCTCAAGCACAGCCGGCACCTTTGCTGCCAAAGCGGAGAGAGCATCACGCTCGACACTTGCATCGCGCCCAACGCCACCGTCAGACACGTTGAGCGTCAGCCCGAATCGCGAGCCCATCTCGACATATTCCTTGCGAAACCGAGCAATGTCGGCAGCGGCGGTCGACTCAACCCGGGCCAAGCGAGCGACCGATGCATCGGCCGAGGCCAGCGACCGCAGAAGCGATGGCAGCTCGTAGCGAACGCCATCCACTAGCGCGCGAACTGCACGAGCAAGATAGACCCGGCCGTCCAGATACTGATTGACAATGTCCTGCCAGGCAGACACGGCATCGGATCCGTAGGAGCCCAGGAAGTTGCGCGTCTCGACCTCGGCCTCTTTCATAGCGGAAAGCATCTCCTGACAGCGCCACAGCGAGAGATAACCAGGATAGTCAACAAGCGCATTGATAGTAGCCGAGGTGGCGGCCGACTCGGGGAGGGCAGCCAGCGCAGCGTCCTTCTTCCCCGCCACAATATCCGCCACCTGCCGCCACTGGTCACGCACTAGCTCCCGCGACTTGAGCCACTCCAGCACCTTGCCCACCTCCAGCTCGAGCGGCGGCAGCAGCGCCGGGTCCAGGTCTGGGTTTCCAAAGCCCTCACCTACCGTCTCAATGACTGCCGAGAGCAGGCTGGACATGGCTGCCGACAGAGCAAGGGTGATGTGTGGCGTGCTGTCGACGCCTTGCTTGCCGAATCCGTCGCGTCGCCCTGCCACTCCTGCAACACAACCAGGAACAGTCCCATCACTCGATCGCGTCCGCCAGCAGCCTGATCTGTTCCAGACACACCACATGCTCTGATGTGGTACCAAGTGTGCGGGATGGCATGCTCCCGGTGGTGCGGTTGAGGATCGGCACAGTTGCCCAGAATCAGCCGTGTGCGCCAGCCAGAGCCCACCCAGTCAGAGCCAAACAGAAAGCCTTAACCCTCGTCCAACTGCTACCTAACACTCCGATCATGCGTAGTAACAGTACTCCATTCTCGTCTCCAGGCCACAATCCTCATCACCACTCACCTCGATCGCCCGCGATCTTATCTATCTCCCCGTCCCCCTCCGCCACTTTCACCCGATCCCCACGATCACCCCTCCAGCCTCTCCCTCCTCTACCCTTGCACCTCTCCCACCCCCTCCTCTACCGCCCACCTCTCTCTCCCCTTCCCCCCTCCGTAGCATGCTGTCATCAACTGTGGTGTACCCACTCGAGAGCTACAGTCTGCAGGAGCGTTCGGCTCAGACAGAGGACGGCGAGCTGCTGGTCCCGCCAGCACCGCCTGCGCCCGAGGACCCCACAGCTCCACTGCCGCCGCCGCCTGCACCGCCTGTCCGCGACCTGCGTGGCGAGTACAAGCGCAACGGGATGCGAACGTCGGTGTATGCAGTCATTCTTGTCCACCGCCATGGACACCCGCACGTGCTGGCGCTCTCGGCTGCCGCCCGTCCGCCGCCGGACTCGGCCTTTCCCACAGGCTTCATGCTCCCCGGCGGGGTGCTCAAGCCGGGCGAGGACGAACGCGACGGGCTGAAGCGAGTGCTGGAGGCGCGGATCGGTGTTGATCCCGACGTTGTTGCCGAGGCCCGTGAGCTGGAAGCACGCGGGGTGGCGCTGGCAGGGGCAGTGCCGGCCGATCAGCTGGTCGTTCCGTGGGAGATCGGCGAGCTCGTGGCGAGCTGGTGGCGGCCGTCGTTTGCCTCGCCGGCACTCTATCCCTACCTTCCTGTGCATGTCTCCAAGCCGCGCGAGTGCATTCGGCTCTTCCACGTTCATCTCCCGCAGAAGCGGACGTTTGCCATCCCGTCCAACTATCGGCTCACCGCCGTCCCGTTCTTCGACCTCTTCAACAACCAGGGCCAGTACTCGAACCTGCTTGCCAGTGTCCCGCACCTCTTCTCGCGCTACACCATCACATTTGCATCGGCTGACGACGACGACGAGGACGACGACATCTTCTCATCGTCGTCAGACTCGGACGACGACGACAACCTCGCACTGGCCCAGTCGGCCATGGCCAACGCCGACGACGATGACGAGGTCCTTGGCATGGAACTGGAAGATGCGGAGGAGCAGGCACTGTAGTCTTGCCAATGAACCAGCACTTTACCGTGACTGCTGACCTAGCTTGGGATCATCTGCGCCAGACATGGGGGCGTGTGATGCCATGGGACATTCCGCCATTGGCGCGCAACGGAGCGAACCGATCGCTAGCCACCAGGCTCCCCACGCAGCGGGAAAGAAGGGAAGGAGAAGGGGCTGCCATGGCAGCGCTCACCCGTCTCTGGCCACAGAGCACACGGAAGACGTCCGCAGCATGTCGCTCGGACGCTCTGGGCTGGACTATCTCACCCTCTGCGTGTTGAACAATGCTACGGCCGTGGGCGACTCGGCGTCGCGGACCAACGCCCGCCTCGCCCGCCGCCTGCACGCCACACGCCCTGCGCCCATGTCATCTCTGCCCGCCCTCCCACCACGCCTTCCGGTCCGCACGCACCCGCGCCCGGCATCAACTCTTCACCACTACAACTCGGGCGGTGAACCAGGTGCGTCTCGCTCTGGCGACAATGTCCGCCTCGGTGCGCACTCGGTGCTGGGCTTGGTCTCGGTGCCTGGCCAGGCCCGGACCCTGACCGGGAACGAGCGCAAGAACAAGAGCGAGCGCGAGCGTGAAGATGTGACACATACAGCAAGCATGGAGGCGAATCGCGGAATGAGCAAGGCCGAGGCACGGGCACGCGAGCGTGAGCGCGCTATGGCCGAGCTGGATGCGAGGCTGGAGCGGCAGCGAGCGCGATCGGTAGCGGTACTCGGCGGAGAGGTCCTCGCTGGCGACGTCGACGGCGCTGCTTCTACCGCCACGGAGCCAGCGTGCTCGTCTGAGGACAGCGGCGAAGGTGCGGCAGAAGGCGGAGGAGAAAGCTCACGGGCAGCCGCGCCCAAGTCTGAGATCTTTCGACTGCTGATGGGCGCTGCGCCGGCGACGCGGCGGGCAGTGCCGGCTCAGCCGTTGCGCCCTGCCCCAGAGATGTTTTCGGGGCCTGTCCGGGTGCGAAGGCGTGCGCCTACCCCTTCTGCAGAGCTGGTCTGCACTGAGCGGGCACAGCTCCGTGAGCTCACCGACAATGTTCCCGGTGAGGTTGTCATACCGTCGCGCACAGGTGCACGGCATGCGGCCGTCGAGCCTTTCAAGGTAGACTCACCAGCAGGTACTCGTTCTGAAACCAGGCGGTTGACATTCCACGCCCGCGTCGGCGGAGGCGGCGAAGGCGAAGGGCCGAGACGGACAAGCCGGCTGACAACATCGATCAGTTGCAGCGGGAGGCCGAGGAGGCGAAGACACGCCTGAAGGTCAAGGAGGCGCGAGATATCGAAAAAGCTGCACAGGCGGAGAAGGCCGCCGAGGCTGAGCGTGCACGTCGGGCTCGAGCACGTCAGCGTGTCGAGGCGCAGCGGCTTGCAGATGAAGCGAATGCTCAGCGCCTGGCCAAGGAGGCTGCCACAAAGCGGCTTGCCAAAGAGGTGGCCAAGGCGGTAGCGGACGGTCAACGGCTAGCAGATGAGGCCGCGGTGAAACGCCTTGCCGAAAAGAGCAAGGCACGACGACAGGCTGAGGCTGAGATGAACGCCGCGGCCGAGGCGCAGCGGATTACTGACGAGGTCAAAGCCAAGGCTGTGGCTGTGGCCGAGGCTGAGCGCGCGGCGATTGAGGCGCAGCGGCGGGCCGAGGCGCAGCGACAGGCTGAGGCTGAGGCGAAACAGCAGGCTGAAGCCGAGGCAAAACGGCAGGCTGAAGCTGAGGCGAAACGGCAGGCGGAGGTCGAGGCGCAGCGACAGGCTGAGGCTGAGGCGAAACGGCAGGCTGAAGCTGAGGCTGAGGCCAAACGGCAGGCGGCGGTCGAGGCGCAGCGACAGGCTGAGGCGCAGCGGATTGCTGATGAGGTCAAAGCCAAGGCTGAAACGGCAGGCGGCGGTCGAGGCGCAGCGACAGGCTGAGGCTGAGGCGAAACGGCAGGCTGAAGCTGAGGCTCAGGCCAAACGGCAGGCGGCGGTCGAGGCGCAGCGACAGGCTGAGGCGCAGCGGATTGCTGATGAGGTCAAAGCCAAGGCTGTGGCTGTGGCCGAGGCTGAGCGCGTGGCGATTGAGGCGCAGCGAGAGGCCGAGGCGCAGCGACAGGCTGAGGCCGAGGCCAAGTGCGCGGCGATTGAGGCAGCGCGGCAAGTCAAGACCAAACGGCAAGCCAGAGAGTCACCACATCAGGCCGCATCAACCAGGCACAGGACGTCTATGCGCACACGCATCGCTACTGCGGAGCACCAGGGCAAGAACACCAAGCCCATTAGACAGCCGTCTGCCGCAACCAAGGCCTTGCCACCAGTCCTACCGCCGCTGCACAACTTGTCGCCCGTCAAGCGACGGTCAGTCGTGCTCCCAACCCAGCTCGCTTCGATCTACCCCGAGTTTTCCAAGCTCTTCTCGGCGGTTGTTCTTGATCCGGACACGCCGGTCAACGCCATCTACGCCGAGTACATTGCCGAGCTGGAGGCGTGGCTGGAGGCGTGCCCCAGTGGGCCAGATGGCCTTTTCTACCGTATCTCATCGGCTGGGCATGAGGAGGTCTACACTATTGTCGCTGAATCGCTCGCTACGGTCGGGACCATGTCCGGCTCGGACTGGGCCGAGCTGCCAGAGGACGCGTCTGGCCTGTGGAATCTGTTGTGGACTTGGGGGCGACCCAAGGCGGACGTATGGTCGCATCTTGTGGCCTGGCAGCGGATCAACCACTTTCCCAACACCTCGGCATTGACTCGCAAGGATCTGCTCAAAAAGTCGATCGAGCGGCAGGCACGACTCGGCGGGCGGATGGCGCGAGTCTTTGACATTGTGCCGACCACGTATATCCTGCCGTCCGAGTACGCCAAGTTTGTGGAAGACTTTGCGCGCTCGGGTGCCAAGAACAAGTCTGGCAACGTGTGGATCATGAAGCCGGCCGGGCTCTCGCGCGGGCGCGGCATCTTTCTTTTCAATGACATTGCCCAAGTCCGGCACGGCGAACCGGTTGTCGTTCAAAAGTACATCCCAGACCCACTGCTGCTCCACGGGCGCAAGTTTGACCTTCGCATCTATGTCCTCGTCACCTCGTTTGAGCCACTGGAGGCGTTTGTGTACAAGGAGGGCTTTGCCCGGGTTGCCTCGCAGCTGTACGATACGTCGCCCGATACCATTGCCAACAACGTCATGCACCTCACCAACACCTCGATACAGTCCGAGGCCTCGACGTCGTACTCGGGCTCGGCCGATGCGGCGGAGTGGGGCGGCTCCAAGTGCTCGCTCAAGTTTTTGGCCAAAGAGCTGGCTAGCAGCGGCGTGGCCTTTGAGACGCTGTGGAAGGGCATCTGCTCAGTTGTCCTCAAGTCGTTGTTTGCCGTGAAGGACACAATTGATAGTCAGCCCAACTCGTTCGAGGTTTTTGGCTACGACATCATGTTCGATTCGTCGCTCAAGCCGTGGCTCATCGAGGTCAACTCGTCGCCGTCGATGACGTGTGACAACCCGCTCGACGTCCGCATCAAGGGCTCCATGATTTCTGACACTCTCAAGCTGGTCAACCCGCTCCGCTTTAACCGATCTCGTCTCAAGGACATTCTTGCTGCCGTCACCGCTCAAAAGTACCGCCACGCCTCCAAGGCCAAGTACAACGAGGACTTGTACGAGTTGCTCGCCGGCGCTGTGCCGCGGGTGCCGGGCACCGGTGTCCTACCCGACTATCTCGGCCTCTACCATCCGATCGCGCCGTCTCCGGCGTACTCCAAGCTGGCCACCATTGCCGGCATGTGTAAGAGTCCTACAAAGAAGGGTGGCGTGTTTCGGTAAAGCAGCCCTAGCCTCTGTTCCAGCCCCAGCTGCAGTCTGAGCTTTATCGTTCATTACTAGCGACCCTTCAGCTTCTTGATGATGGCCTTGAGCTTCTTGATCTCCTCAGTCTCGACGTTGCGCTGCGAGTTGTTGACGATGGTCTTGACCCGCTCGGCATAGCCGAGGGAGGAGACGGTCTCGGAGACGTTGTATGACGACGGCGAGATGTTGACAAACATGAGGGTCTTAGCCGTACCGCCGAGCGAGTCGGACATGCAGTACGTGAGCTTGTTCGACCGGTACGGGATGTGCTGCTTGTCGCTCGAGGTGAGGGCGGCAATGACGTTGCCGAGGGCGGCCAGCGAGCGGTTGATTGACTGGGCCTCCTTCATCCGCTCCTTGTCGGCGCCGGTCTTGGCGAACCGCTCCGAGCCTGCAAGATCGACAAGCGAGAGCTTGCCGCGAGTTGTCGACCCGTTCTCGTTGTGGGTGCCTTCGATGAGGATCGAGAGGATGAGGTGCGAGCGCGACGAGTGCTCATTCATGTTGGTAGCGCCGGTGTGCCGGTGGGCAATGCCGAGCTCGAGGATCGAGTGCAGCTCCTCGGGCGAGCCGGCGGGCAGGATCTCGATGTTCGAGATGTACACCATGCCGCCTTCATCGTGGTGAACGTCGAGCTTGGCCGCGCGTCGACCGGCACGTCGGTGAGAAGGTCGACGAGGTTGTCGTTGTAGATCTCGAACATGTAGCACGAGACCGAGTACGTGTAGTTGGGCTGGTGTTGGAACGAATCGAAGATCTGCGAGAAGGCTCGCGGCGTGATGCCTGGCGCGTCCGGCGCACCCGTCATGGTGTACGTCTTGCCGGAGCCGGTCTGCCCGTACGCAAAGATGCACACGTTGTAACCGTCGACGGCCGACTGCACAAGCTGGGTCGTCTCGGAAAAGATTTGGTCCTGGGTCGAGTCCATGCCAAACACGTGGGTGAATGAGTACTCACGGTCCTTCTTGGTGTCGTGAATGAGGAGCGTGGCCTCGTCGAGCACGTCGGCGGCAAGCTCGCCGCCCTCGGCGCCGTCCGACGCCGTGAACGGCCGCACACGGCAGTACACCCGAATCTTGCCCTTCATGTCCTCGATTTGGTTAAAGTACTTGATCCGGAGCCGCCGCTCCTTCTCGTACACCTCCTTGAGTCGGCTCGACTCGCTCTGGTGGAACGCGAGCTGCGAGCTTGCTGCCGCCAGCTCGGCCTTGACTGCTGCTGCTTGCTGCCGCTCGGCCTCAAACGACGCCGTCGCCGCCTTGAGCTGTTCGTACTTGCCCTGGACAGCTGCCAGCGTGCTCTGTGCCTCGCTCAGCTGCGAGTTGAGCGTCGCGATCTGCGAGTTAAGCGTTGCAATCTCCGCCTCCATCCGTCCGCGCTCGTCCCGCTGTGCCTGCTTCAGCTCCACAATCTGCTGCTGGAGCGCGGCCTCGCCGGCGGCTGCATTGGACGCTGCTGCCTGCTCCGCCGCACGCAGCTCACCCTCAAGCTGGGCCACCTTCTTGGTTGCCGCCGCAAGCTGGCTCTCCAACGCACTGGCACGAGCCTCGGCATCACGCATCTGGCTCTGTGCCGCGGTAAGCTGCGACGCGTCCACCTTGGAGCCTGAGTCGGCCGTAGCTGCAGGCGCCGCGCCTGCGCCGGCACTCCGCAGTCGCGCATTTTCGGCGCGAAGCCGCTCGAGCTCCGCGGCGAGCGCTGGGTCCGAGCCGCTCGCAGCCTTGGTCCCGTTGGTCGTCGTCGCTGTAGGCGTGGGAGCCATGGACGCTGTTGCGGTGGCTCGCGGCGAGGCGGCGGCCGAAATCGAGTCGGGATGCGCAATGATGACCAGTCGGGCAGCACCAGCCGCAGACGTCACATCGCTCAGCGATCCGATCGGCGTCCGGTTCTCAAGCACGCGCTGCTCCGACCCAAGCCCGGGGTCGTATGCCAGCGACCATGAGCCAGCAAGGCCAAAAGAGACCTTGGCGGCGTCAAGGACGGCGGCGAGCGTCGCGTCTGGCGCAACCTTGACAACGGACTTGGCGCCGCTTGCATTGAACACCGGAACGCGGACCGACGTGGCGGCGCGGGTTACCGGACTCGCCTCGGCTTTGGACGCGTAGCTCGAGACGTCCCAAATGCAGATCGAGCCGTCACGCGACGACGAAAAGAGCGCCGTGTCAGAACAGTCGACGGCAAGAACCCAGTGCGAGTGGGTCTGCCCGCGCGCCAGCAGCTCACCGTTGCGGGCGTTCCACACCGCCACTGAGTGGTCGGCCGAGCCAGTGAAGAGCAACGTGCCCTGTGGGTTCATGGCAATGCAGAGCACAATGTTGTCGTGGCCCGACAGCACCCGCACGCACTCGCCGGTGTGGATGTCCCACACCCGCACCGAGCCGTCGGCCGAGCCAGTGTACAGCAGCTCGTTGTCGGCAACATGGAGGCACGTGATCCGCGAGGTGTGCCCGGTAAAGACATGGATGCATGCGCCGGTGAGCACGTTCCACGCCCGCGCCGTACCGTCGCGCGAGCCAGTGTACAGCACGCCGTCGGCAACCTCGAGGCAGTACACAATGTCCGAGTGGCCGGTGTACGCCCTCACGCACGCATCCGACGCTGTATCCCACAGCCGCACCGTCTTGTCTGTCGACGCCGAAAAGACCGACGAGCCGCGGACAAGCAGCGAAAGCACCGTCTTCTTGTGGCCCTTGTACACCATCACGCGCTCGTCGTGCTTGATGACCGTCTTGTCGTCTGACCCCGAGTACGGTGTGCCGTCGTCGGCCACCGCCAGGCAGAAAATGGCTTTCTTGTGGCCCAACAGCTTGTCCACCACCTTGCCCTTGGCCGCGTCCCACTTGATCACGCTCTTGTCGGCAGAGCCCGTGTAGAGGAACCCATCCTGGACGTCCAGACACCACACCGTCTCGACATGGCCCTTAAACGTCTTCAGGTTCTTGCCCTTGCGCACGTCCCACGACCGCGCCATCGAGTCGGCGCCCCCAGAGTACAGAACCCCGTCCGCATACTTGAGCGCGTACACCTGCTCATGCCCCCAGCCCCCCAGCCCCGCCCATACCACTCTGTGTGAGCCCAGTAGCCTGGCCCGCTCCGCCCGCCGCACCTCCCAATTTGAAGACCTTTTTCGTTGTGCGCCGCCCACCCGACAGCCCACCCTCCTCCCCCTTCCCCCTCCCCCTCCCCCCCCCCCCCCCCGCCATATGCGCCCACTCTCTTTTCCCACATACCTCGGCTCCATGTTGCTTCAATTGGTGCTTGGCCTTGAACACCTCTGCATTTGCAGCCGCCATCCCGAGCTCGCCTGACTTGAGCCAAATGTAGCAACTGATCTGTGTTGAACGGCGGCAGATTTGCGAAACTGCAACTGGCCGGGGCGCGACCGACCGCTGCCGAGTCAGTCCTGGCCCCCCCCCCTCCCTCCTCGAACCTGGCCCGAGCCGACTGATCTGCGACGACATGCCTGGCGGGCACACATCGCTTGACCTGTTGCTTAATACATTGATCAATACAGAAACAATGGGCGCTCGAGGGACACGTTCTCTACAACGATGGTAATCACCTCTGCACCGGTCGTGACTGATGCCTCGCCACCGCCAGGATCAGAAACAAACTGGACGACGAGGGAGACGCTGCCGGCGAGCGGAACGTCGCCGGGAAGAATGGCTGATGTTTGCCATGATGAGGCGCGAGATGGCCGTCCGTCGACCGGATCGACCGTAGGCACTAGCCCGTTGAGGCGCGCCTGCTCCACGATGGCATCGGTATCGGAATAAAGGAACTGCACGCCGGCAAGGGCAAAACGGGTTCCGATGGCGTCTCCGTCGCTGGGATCCAAGTAGATCTTGACCAAATACTCCCATCCGGTCTCGGTGGCCGGGGCACAAAGGAGAGCCAGCTCGACAACAATCCCAGCTGCCCGCGCCGAGCCAAAGTATGGGCCGGCAGCGGGAAAGTGGGAGAGCGGTTTGATGACCCCAGGCTCGGGTTCTGAGACTAGAGAGTCGTGGGCGATGTGACCAGCATCAAGCTGGTTAGCAAACGATGTCAGCCACGCAAGCAGCGGCTCGTCTGGGCTCCAGCGGTCTGCGCTGGCCGCCCGCGGAGGTGCCAGATCGTAGGCAAAGCTACCTCCCCAGGAGCCGTGGACGCGAGGAATGCCCGACCTGCGGTCGACAGCATACATTCGCTGCGGAAAGAAAGATTGCGCAAAGACCACGTTGTCCTCAAACATATCAACCGCATCAGGAGTGATCAGCGCCATCACATACGGCCGTGCTACCGAGCGCCCGCCGAACAACGCGGTAGAGACAGCGCTACGTCGTGCCGAGTCATTGGCATCAACCTGCAGGAGATTCTTCTGCCCGCCCACCCATCGATAAAGAGTGGCCAGTGAGAGCGGGACCGGAACCTCCAGGTTGCGCCACAAGTACGCCAGATCGGGCCACGGGCGGCCAGTCAAGATCGTGTCCTCGGCACCTGCGCACGCCACAATCCGCGCAAGGACCTTGCGCATGGCAATCGCGTACGCCACCGGTACACCCGGTGGCAGACTCGCAACCCACGCTCCGTACACATCCTTCCAGCTCGCAACTGGCACGCCGTCCACCCCTATCGGCACTGGATTTTCCACGCCAAAGTCTTCCAAGCACCGTCGCCTCCACAGCACGCCGTCACTCGCCCAGAGCCTCCACCTCCGGCAGACTAGAGCAGCAGCAGCCAGATCAATACCGTCCAGAAAGCCAAGAACCAAACATCCTACTTCCATGCCCACCCCTGCCCACATGCCCACATCGACATCGTCCGAGTCGACCGCACCTGGCCTTGCCATGCTGTCTTACGAACGAGGCGCACCACGAGAGGGCCGCGCCGTGCAGAACAACGAACGCCCACAACCGCAGCCTACGCTATGCACAAGCCCACAGGTATTGGTTGCGGCTTGAGCTTGGAATCTGACTAATCGTCGAGCAACACTTTTGCACTTGCCGGGAGAAGTCTGTCTCGCCGTGGTTGCAACCATTGGGTGATGATGATGATGACAGTGTTGATGATGGGAGGGGGGGGGGTGGTGACGATGATGATGATGAGGATGATGATGATATGATTATTATCATACTCGCCATGAAAGTCATGACATCAGTAGTTCCTCGCACGGAGAAAATGGTGTAGATCTTTTCCCCCTTCCCTCCCCCCCTCTCCCGCCCCTTTCCCCTCCTTCCCCCACTTCAATCGTCTCCCTTCCCTTCCCTTCCCCATCAATGGCTCTCCGTCTGATCACTCCCACCACCAACCAGCTCACAGCTCAGTCTCACCCCCCCCCACTCACTCCACCACACTCCACCTCTTCCCGTCTTCACCACTCCCATGTCCCAACTGGTATGTCCTCTCCTCCCTCTCCCTCCTACCCTCTTCCATCCCCCCCCCCCTCCCCCTCCCCCTCCCTCTCCCTCTCCCTCTCCCTCTCCCCTTGTCCCCATCCCCTCCACCTCCCCATCCTCTCCCCCCATCTCCCATCCATCCCGCGGCACCTCCCCCCCCCCCTCCTCCCCCACCTCCTCCGCTCTGCCCCCCTTGCCGGCCGGCCTCATCCGCCTCCTCCTCACCATCCTCCTCCTTCACCCTACGTAGTGGACACCATACCGGGCACTGGGCCTGGTCTCCGGAGAGGCACCGTTCTTCGTCGAGCGGCGTGGGACCAAGTCGTTCATCACCACGCCTGTCGGCTCGTCGTTCCATGTTTACGATGCTGACAAGCTCCGGCTGGTCTTTGTCGGCCCGCACAACCGGGCGCGCAACGCGTGCGCTGTCTCGGTCAAGAATGTAGTTTATGTTGGCTCGGCTCACTTCATCGTCGCTTACCGCCGTGGTAAGGAGATCGCCCGCTGGTCGGTCCTCACCGAGTCGGACGTGCCGCGCGAGGATCTGCCCGATGCGCTGGTTGTCTCGCAGCTCCACGTGTTTGGCCTTCATCTCATCTCCATCTCCACCGACAACGTGCTGCGAGTTTGGGAGACGCATCCGGTGCGGCTGTACGCCGAGCTTGCTCTGCCCAAGGACGAGTTTGAGGTGACGACCATGATTCACCCGGTGACGTACCTCAACAAGATTGTGCTCGGCTCGCGGCAAGGCGCGCTGCGGCTGTACAACCTGCGAACGCTTCAGCTTGTGCACGAGTTTGCGCCGTTTAGCTCGCGGGTTGTGGACGATGCTGGTGAGGCTGTGGCCGAGCCGTCGGCGGTCCTGTGCATGGCGCAGTCGCCGGTGGTAGACGTCATTGCGGTCGGCTGCGCCGACGGTTCGATCTATGTCGTCAACCTGCTGTACGATGTTGTGCTCAAGACGTACGCGCACGAGTCGTCGCCGGTCACTGCACTTGCGTTCCGCAACGACGGGCCGGGCGTCCTGGTCTCTGGCGGGCTCGGCGGCGAGATCACGATGTGGTCGCTCGACCACGACCGGATTGTGGCCTCGGTCCCGTACACCCACTCGTCACCGGTGACATGCATCAAGTTTCTGGAGGGCGAGCCGCTCATGCTCACCTCGGGTCGCGACAACAAGCTCTCGATGTGGGTGTTTGACCAGCCCGACGGCTCGCCTCGGCTGCTGCGGTCGCGTTCGGGCTTTGCGCGGCCGCCGCATCTGGTGCGCTTCCACGGTGGCGATGCGCGGCACTTGCTGGCGGCATCGGAGGACCGGTCGCTGCGGTTCATCTCGACGATCAACGACGCGCAGTCACGCGAGATCTCACAGGGCTCTCTGGCGTCCAAGGCGGCCAAGACCGGACGGACGGTGGAAGACCTGCGAATCAAGACGGTGACGGCTCTGGCGTCGGCGTCGATTAAGGAGCGCAAGTGGGACTCGATCCTCACCACTCACGCCGGTGTGGGCGCAGCCTTCACCTGGTCGTTCTTCCACAAGCGGATCGGCAAGCACAAGCTCAAGGTCAACACAACCGGGCCGCGTCACGAGTCGTCGGCGGTGACCATTTCGGTCTGCGGGCACTACGGCGTGGTCGGCACGTCGACCGGCCTCGTCGCCCGGTTCAACATGCAGTCGGGTGCGCGGCGCGGCGACTTTTCCGACCCGTCACTGGACGGCAAGGCCGCGCACACCAAGCGGGTGACCGGCCTCGCCATTGACGCAGTCAACCTGCTGCTCATCTCGACCTCGCTCGACGGGACGGTCAAGTTCTGGTCGTTTGCCAAGGGTGAGCTCCTCGACACCATTGCGCTGGACTCGCCGATTGTCAAGGCCTCCATCCACCGCGACTCGGGCTTCCTTGCGCTCGCGTCGGACGACCTCACGCTGCGGATTGTGGACATTGAGACGCGGCGGGTAGTGCGCAGTTTTGAAGGTCACTACAACCAGATTACCGACCTGTGCATCTCGCCGGACGCGCGGTGGCTCATCTCGTCGTCGATGGACTCGACGCTGCGGGTGTGGGACCTCCCGACCGGGCGGGCCGTCGACTGGGTCCGCTTTGATCGGGCGGTCACGTCGCTGGACATGTCGCCAGACTCGGCATACCTGGCGACGACGCACGTCAACTCGCAGGGCATCTTCCTCTGGGCCAACGCCCACCACTTTTCCTCGGCGCGGCTGGTGCCTGTTGACGAGAGCCTCACGCCCGGCCAGCTCCCGCTGGTTCAGGTCAACACCTCGCTGCTCGGCATTGACTCGGACGCAACCGAGTCAGGCGAGTCGTACATGGGTGCGCGCTCACTGATGACGCTCATCAAGGACCAGGAAGCGGCGGCGGACGCGGCAGCGACCAAGAACGGGTCGGGAGCTGGGTCGGCCGCGGCGTCGGGCTCCGAGCCGGGCGCGCCCGGCGATGCCCAGCTGGATCCGCGGCTAGTGACGCTGTCGTCACTGCCGGCGTCGCGGTGGACAAACCTGGTGCGAATGGATGAGGTCCGCGAGCGCAACCGCGCGTCGGACGACCACCTTGTTCTGCCGGAGAAGGCGCCGTTCTTCCTCGCCACCAAGGCTGGCCTCGAGCCCGAGTTTGATACCTCGGTCATCGACGAGATGAAGGCCGAGGCCGAGGCTGTCCGCAACACGGCCAAGTCGTCGCGTATCCTTGACCTCGGCTCGCTCAAGTCGACGTCGGGTCTGTACAAGCACATTGCAAGTCGCAACTTTGACGCCGCGCTGGCGTGGATCACCAAGTCGTCGCCGGCGCGGGTCGATCTCGAGTTGCGCACCATGTCCGATCCCGATGACCTGGTTGCCGTCGTCCAGTTCCTCACCTGGGGCCTCTCCACTCTGGCCAACTACGAGCTCTTCCACTCGCTCGCTCAGCTCGTCCTCACCGTTCACCAGGAGACGCTCCTCGCCGGCGAAGCTGGGCTGGATGCCGAGCTTGTGGCGCTGCAGGCTGCTATGGCCGACCCGCTCGACACGCTCGATGCCATGTTCAACGCCTCGCTCTGCATGGTCAAGCATGTGCGTGGCATCCAGTAAAGACACGGATGGCAAGGTGTGAGTGTGTGTGTGTGTGTGTGTGTGTGTGTGTGTGTGTGCCAAGTAGAAGAGTGTATTGCATCGCCTGCCATCGGGCAGGGGCGCACAACAACGCGTCCGAACGACCGTACCGTTAAGGGTTAGGCATTGAACTTAAGTCCCATGACATCGCCGACGTCTGAAATGGCGTCCAGCGCCTTGTCGATGTCTTCGCGGGTGTGGGCGGCAGAGAGGCAGAAGCGCGAGCGCGACTCGATGATGGGTGTCGCCGGGTAGCCGACGACGACGACAGCGAGCGAGCGCTTGAGGGCCTCCCGTGAAAAGGCGGCAATGGCGCACGGGTAGTAGAGCATGAGCGGGACGACCGGCGAGTCGTTGTCGCCGTAGATGACAAAGCCCATTTCCACGAGGCGGCGGCGGAAGTAGTTGGCGTTGTCGCGGAGCTGGTGGATGCGGCGCTGGCCATCGTTGGTCCCGTCCTCGCCCATGATGATCTTCATGGTGGTCTGGACCATGCGGGCAACCGGTGGCGCCATGGCGTTGGCGTACAGATGCCCGATGCACACCGACTTGAGGTACTGGATGAGCTCGGGGGTGGAGGCGATGTAGCCGCCGACGCCGCCAAACGACTTGGTAAATGTGCCCATGAGAATGTCGACGTCGTCAGGCGAGACGCCGGTGTGCTCACACACGCCGCGCCCGGTGGCACCGAGGGCGCCGATGGAGTGGGCCTCGTCGAGGTACAGGTACGCCTTGTACTTTTTCTTGACGGCGACGATTTCGGCGAGGCGGCAGATCTCGCCCTCCATCGAGTAAATGCCCTCAACAATGACGATGATCTTCTTCCATGGGCGGTGGGTCCGCGGCTGGCCGTAGGCAATGGCGTGGCGGAGAACAGCCTCGAGGTCGTCGGGGTCGTTGTGGCGGAAAGTCTTGATCTTGGCGCCCGAGACGCGGCAGCCCTGCACGATTGACGAGTGGTTGAGCGTGTCCGAGATGACAAGCGAGCCCTTGCCACACAGCGCAGGAATGACGGTCGAGTTGGTGGCAAAGCCCATGCCGAAGATCATGGCTGCCGGCTTGCCCAGGAAGCGGGCGACAAGGTTCTCCAGTTCGACGTGATCGCGGGTGTTGCCGGCGGTCGCCCGCGAGCCGCACGACGAGATGCCGTACGTGAGGGTGGCGTCGGTGACGGCGGCAATGGTCGGCCCATGGTTCTCGGCAAAGCCGAGGTAGTTGTACGAGCCGAGGTTGAGGCACCGATGCGTCTTGCCGGTCAGCTTGAAGGAAAGGTTGTAGTCGTCCGACAGCCGCTCAGGGAGGGTGATGTACGCTCCAGGCGCCGAGCACACCGGCCTGTTCCAGCAGTCCTGGATGCGGTGGTAGAGACGGCGAGTGTAAAAGTTGTCAAAGTCCGAGAGCAGCTCGCAGTACCCGGGCTCGTTACCCACAGGCCGCCGGGTGTCCTTCGACGTGGCCCGGAGGAGCCAGCGGAGGCCGAGGGCGGTGAGGCCAGCCCTGGAGAAGTCACGGAGGTGACCAAACACAATAAGCACTCCATACGAGAGATACGTCAGAATAGCCACATACAGCGGCGGCTGCGGGTGGTCCATCGTCATTTCCCTGTCTTGCCCATTGCCGCATTGTCCACGCCCCCGCTCCACGTCAGTCTCCCTCCCTTCCCCTCTCCCCCCTCTGCCGCCAAACGCCGCCCCCAAAATGACGTGGCGCCTCATCCTCTCCCTGCCGCGCCCAATGCCTCGTCACTGACTCTGCCCAGCCTCTACTCCCACCCATAGCCTCCATCTTCATTCCCCCTACCCTGCTGGTGACTAACTACTTGCGTACTTACTCTTGGCCCGCCAGGAGACAGATGATCTAAGTGGCAATGTGTACCCCCACGCGTTGGCTGTGTGGTCGGGTGTGTGTGTGGTGCCTCCAACCAGTGAGCGGTTGCTTGGTCCTTGCCTCGTCAGCCCATTGGCCCAAATGGCGATCAGGTCAGATCATAGGCGGGGATGGGTAGCACAGCACGGCTTTGACGCTGCATCTGACCAGCGCACGCACAGGCCGATTCACCAGCCCCCAAAGTTCCCCATGGTTCCGTTGTATTTGTCTTCTCCATGGGGCGTTTTTCAACATCAAGGATGGCCAGGCCGACCTCCGTGCTCTCACCGGCATTCTCTACGGACACATCACATCGCCCGATAACGTCTACAACATGATTCCCCTGTGAGAATGGTCGAACCAACGGATGTGGTGTTTGAAGCCCAGGTCCTCCATCTTGCCCGGCGTGCTCAAGCGACAATTGGCTGGCTGATGCAGCTCAGCGTGCGGGGAAACTCTACGATAGCATTGCCACATTGCTCATCGTGTGGCGCACACAGGAAGCTCCAATGCCACCTGCAGATCGGCCACAAAGTCGTCGCTGCGAGCGTGAACAACCAGGGTGGCCTGATCGTCAAGATGGGTGGGCTGGAGGTTGACGATGACCAGCCGCCCGCCGTTCTCGAGGGTGTAGCCAGGCAGAGTTGTCTCGACCGAGAGCGACGAGCCGAGGACGATCATAAGGTCGGCGGTGGCAGCAGCCACCCAAGCGAGCTCAAACTGTTGCTCCATCGACGGAACTGACTGGTGGGTGTCGAAGAAGCCGACGAGCGTGGCCTCCATCGCCCCACCACACGCCTTGCACGACGTACCGGTGGCACGGGTCTCGGGCTCAACCGTCTGAAGCGGGGCATCAACGAGCGGATTGTGGCAAAGCTCGGCCCCGCACGCGCTGCACGCCTCAACGTACAGCGATCCGTGGAGCTCGGCATAGTTTGAACCGCGAACGAGGCCTGCCGCGGCATGGAGGCCGTCAACGTTGGTTGTAGCCACGCAGCCGATGAGACCGGCATCAACAAGTGCTGTCAACCCACGATGGGTGAGCGTTGGCTGCGGCTTGTGCTCTGCAGATGCCAGTACACCAGCAATGCCGGATCCATCGTCGTCGTCCGCCGCATCCGTCGCCGCGTCCGACTCGGAACCTTCTTCGAGCTTCAGCGAGTTACGGATCCTTCGGGTCCACACACCATCAGGCCCACGGTAGGTAGGCAACGCAGCGCCTGGCCCAGTCGATACGCCTGCACCAGTCAGCACCACCGCCTTGCCCTGTGCATCGCGGAGCCATTTCGCAACAACCCTCGCCGCTGCTGTCACCACCTCGGGCGGCTCGACCGACTCGTCCAGCCCCGGTGCCGACGCGTTGGAGGCAATGTAAGCTTCAAACGCCGCATACTCGCGCGAGTCGAACCCATGATCGATGCCCCGTCCTGAACCCTTACCCGCAGCCGGCGTGGTATCGACTGATTGCGCCATATCGACTGCGTGATCAAAGAGAGCAGTGTTCGCCCAGATCGTGTCGAGTTGAGTGCCCGACAACAGGCCTCTTACGATTAATGCCGTAATTTCATGACCTTACTCAAGAGGCAAAGACCGGGCCAAGATGATGGCCTACGCACAGCACGCCCCCCCCCCCCCCCCACACACACCCTCTACGCACCAACCATGCTATTTTTGATTGCTCCGATCTACCCACGCTGCGATCAGTGCTATCGATCAAGGACTCGTTGGAGCTATGGCTGGACCACCGGCGGCGTCGAGCCCACTCTGCCGAACACTGAAACCGTTGGTCGGTGGCGGGCGGCTCAACGGACTGTTTGGCCACGGGTTGGATGACTGCGAGGTGGGAAGAGCGTGACACCGAACTACCTCAACCAGCCAGGGAGGTTCAAGGGAGGTAGCTCGTTATGGGCGCTGGATGCTCGTCGTCACGGAAGGAGAACCCAGGCCATGGCCGGAGACCGACGCAGGCCCGTGAGGGTGAGCCAGAGTCGCCAGCACCACAACCGGCAGAACCGGCCGAGGACAAGCCGCAGCGAGGCACGCCGGGCAATCCTGTTATGCCCAAGGGCCCGCAACCCTCAGGCGTTTCGCTCACCGGGGATACGCAACGCACACGACACAGGATCCGCAAGGTAATCAAGCGCAAGGTGCGAAAGCCGTCGCACGCCCGCGGAGCATCTGCGGGCAGAAGTAGGGCGGCGGGCAAGAGCAGAGGCAAGAGCAAGGGCAAGAGCAAGGGCCCACCGCCGGCATCATCGGCAGGCATGTCGTCTCTGGGTGGCCATATCGAATCGAAAACCGGCGATGCAGAGCAGGCCAAAGAGGCGGTCACCTACCTCATGTCGCGGCGCACACCGTCGATCACCGAGTTTGGCCGCAGGCTGCACTCAACCATCGATCCTGACGCACACCGCGACAGCTCGCCAATGTCGTCAATGACCCAGCTTGGCTCGCTGAGCGAAGTGCCGGCGTACGTCTCCATGCCTACAGGGCGGATGTCGCCAGAGAACGAGATCTCGTCGCTGCCGATCATCTCCGGGTCGTCGACAGCATGTGACGGCGTGGACGAGTCACCCCCGGTTTCCAGTATGGTAGCCTCACTTGGCACGCCCGAATCGCCGTCGGTTGTCCTTGTCATGGCTGCGGAGCAGAGGGACAAGGCCAACACTTCGTTCATTCATATGACCTCGCTGTTTCTCCGGCTCAAGAAGCTGGTGTACGCAATCCTCCTTCACCACAAGGCTGCACACATCGACACCCATGGCCTCGTCTTTGTGGCCGTCTTTGAGAAGACCCAGGCTGCAGTTCTGTCGGCGCTCGAGTTGCAGGCTCGTATCAAGTCGTACAACGAGGAGCAGCAGAGTGCTGAGCAGCTCGGTTTCTGTGTCGACATTGCCTTTGGCCTCGCCCTCGGACGGCTGATGGTCAAATCGGATGAGACCGGGCGCGTGCTTGGCAAGGCCAAGGCGTCAGCGTGGCAGCTTGCAAAGCTCGGGCTGGAGCAGAGCGGCGGCATCCTGGTGGCGACCGAGCTCGTCCGGGAGTGGGACACGACCAAGTCGCCGATCTCTGTGCTCAAGCTGACCGAACCTCAGGAGAACCTCGCCGGCGAGAGCTACTGTTCAGTCTTTGGCACCAAGGGCAAGATCCGCATCTCGGAGCGGGCGCCACTTTCGCTCTCGGACTACATGCGCGAGTACAAGGAGGCGCCCGAGTTCTTTGACCTTCTTCTTTCGCGGGTCGAGGCCGCGGTCTCGTCGCCACGCGAGCTGGCAACCATCGACGCCGCCATCGACGCCAAGTACGGCGCCGAGCTTGTTGTCATTGCACTTGGCCTGCGGGCTCCGACGTTTGACTCGCTATCTGAGTGCATCACCTCGATGCTGCAGCGGCGCATGCTGTTCACGTGCATCCACGAGCTTGTGACCCGGCGCGGGGGTGTGGTCATCGACAATACCACGTTTACTTTTGCGCAGCTTGAACCGGCGCTTGCGGCGGCAGTTGATCTACACGAGTTCTTCACTTTTGACGCCTTTCGCTCAGCGGCACACAACGTTTCATCGCTCTTCTCGCCAGCACGGATGCACTACACCGGGCTCGGCGTGGCATGCGGCAAGGTGGTCCACGTCAAGTCAAGCACCAAGGCAACAGTGTTTTTCCAGGGCGATCCAGTCCGGGCCTGCCGCATTCTCTGCCACGAGAACGAGGCGAGCATCTCGTATCCGGTACAGGCACCGTCAACGCCACACCCGGGTGTGATTGCGGTAACCCACCCGGTTGTGGCTGGGGTGAGCAAGCTCGCGGCGACCGCGCCCAACTCGATTGCAAGCGCATACGAGTTTAGTGACGCGCCGCAAGAGTCTGAGCTGGGCGAAGCGGCGTACATCATGTACATGGACCACTTTAAGCACGTCTCGCTTGACCGCGAGCGGGTGAGGTGGTACGACGGGCAGAGCCTTGGTGTGCTTGTTACTGATCTCTCGGGCTTTACCCGCATGACCAAGAAGCACGGCATCATCCACTTTATCTCGCTCATCCATCGGGTTCGACAGCTGCTCACACCGCTCTTTGACGACCTCGACGCGCTGTTTGTGGAGACCGAGGCGGATAACTTTATCGTGCTCTTTGACGATCCAGTCAAGGCGCTCATTGCTGGCGTCCATGTCCCGCTCATTCTCGAGGCGTACAACAACGACCCTAGCTTTGTGGTCGACGACGATTTCCAGCTCAAGCTCGGCGGCGTCGGCCTCGGGTACGGCGGCGGCGTGGCCTTTGATACGGTGTCGGAAAAGTTCTTTGGCTCACCGTTTGATCGAGCGTGGGATCTCGGTGAAGACATCTCGTCGTCGGGCGGCGTGTTGCTCGACGCAGAGATGTATGCAGCAGTCAAGGACTCGGTTCTTGGGGAGTCACTCGCCTTTGCGCGCGAGCCGCCACACCCCGAGTACGGCTATGATGGCGGGGTGCACTACAGCGTGTCAGCACCACTGGCGCTTCTCAACCTCTCCAAGTATCTGCCCAAGGAAGCCAAGGTAACCTCGCTGGCCGACGCAGCCATTGAGGCCTCGTGGTCGGCGTCGGATGCCGAGTCGTCGCGGTCGGGCCCGTCGCCGGCCAAGGCTGTGGCTGGCGCGCTGTTGGCACCGACTCCTGCGCCGCGGCACGGGCCGTCGCTTCGCAATGCAGTAGCGGCGCTACCAACCTCGTTCTCAGCCATGGTCGAATCACGGGTCAATGTCAACACGTCTGCGGCGTTTATGGACGAACTCATCGAGCGCAAGTATATGACCCACAAGACGGCGGTGATGGTAGGCTGGGACTATGCCTCGCTTTCGGGCTCATATGGTGTTACGCAGGCTATTCGCATCTGCCAGACCACGCTTCGTGCGCTCAAGCACATGGTTGACAAAGCTGGCGGGCGCTGCGTCAACTCGATTGTATGGCTCTTCGATTCGAACCTCGAAGCACTCGAGGCGGTGTGGCGCATCCGCGCGTCTATCCAGGCTGTGAACGCGGAGCGCGAGCCGGCAGACCACATTCCGCTCACCGGGTTTGGCGTCCACTGCGGAACCATTCTCCGGGTCGATGAAACGGGCGAGTTTTGGGGGGATCCGCTCAACGTTGCGTCCAAGCTCGGCGAGGACGTCGCTTCCAACAGCGACGTCTACATCACAGCCGAGGTCTACGCCGACGCCGCGACTGCGGGGATGGACACCGACTTTGCCTTTGACGCCAAGCAAGTGGTCATTTCCAAGACGCGTCTGGCCTATTACCACATGCGGCCGCGCGATCATCGGCTCCCGACTGCGCTGCCCTCGTTCTCGCCGGAGATCAACGTCTGTCCGCCGTCGTCAGGCATGTCGGAGAACAGCCTGACTCTCCCATCGCCTGCCGACCGCCACAGCGCAGCGACAACCATCCAGCGAGTCTACCGCGGCTATGCCGTGCGCGAGACCATGGTCCGCCGCGAGCGCGCGGCGCGGTCAATCCAGCGGTTCATGCGGGCGTGCACGCGGGCCAAGGACAATGTTGCGGCCCGGCATGCTGTCGAGGCTGAGGCCGGCGGCGAGTCTGGGAGTGAGTCTGGGAGTGAGACTGGGAGAGGGTCTGGGAGTGGATCCGGGTCTGAGAGTGAGTCTGGGAAAGGGACTGGGAGTGGATCTGGGACTGGGACTGGGTCTGGAAGCGGATCAGGGACTGGGTCGTCGTCGTCGTCGTCCTCTTCCTCCTCGTCGTCGTCCTCCTCGCCGTCTTCTGCATCCTTAGAAGAGCTTTAGCCAAGTAACAACTGACCACACTTGTTCTCATTGTGCGGATTACGTCCTAATGTTGTCCTGAACCACAGCACAAGCTTGATCGAGTACCACTCCCACACCGACCCATCAATTCGATCACACCCCTTTGCTGCCAACATGCGTCTGTCCCATCACGGCCGACCAAACACCAATCATGTTCGGCGGCAACTTGGCGCGCCGAGGCAAACTCCCACACCACCACCGCCACCGCCACCGCCACCGGCACCGGCACCGGCACCCCTCCCCACTCGACGCCTAACGCCATGAACACCGAGCGGCTGCTTGGGCACGCTCTGTACCTGGGCCACCTGGGCCACGTGACGGCCCTGGCCAACCATTGTGCGGCGCTGCGGGCGTCGCATGGGGACGACCCGCTGCTGGCACTGCTGGGCGGCGTGGCAGCGGCGGCTGTGGGCGAGGCCACCGACGCCGTGAGGACGTTGACACCCCTGGAGCGGAGTCATGGACTGGCCTTAGCTGCCCATGTTGGACTGGCCTATGCCCATGCCCATGCTCAGTTTGTCGACACCGACGCTGTTCAGCACCATGTGGCCGCCATCGAGCATGCCGCCGCAGGCGCCGACTCGGAAGCCCGCGCCACTGCCGTCGTCGCCGCCCTTGTCCTCCGCGATATGCAGGTCGCTCGCTCGCTGGTTGATCCTCTCCGTGCAGGTGCTCCAGGCGGCGGCCTTCTGGACTGGCTCGGCCTCCCGGCCTGGGTCGACCTCGCCGCCGCCTCGGGCCGCTCTGCCCTGCTGGAGCGCGCGCTCTCAGCCTTTCGCGCTGCTATCACCAACGCAGCGTCGGGCGGAGGCGGGTTTGGCTATCCGGCGCTTGCCGCCGTGGGCAAGGCCATTGTCGAGGTTGCGCTCGGCGCAGCGGATGATGCGCTCGACTCGCTCAACGCCGCCACTCTCGCCGCGCCTTGGACACCTGCGCCGGTGCTTGAGAAGGCTCACGCACTGGTAGCGCTTGGCGAGTGGGAACAGGCGGCAGAGCAGGTGGCCTCGCTCTCGGGCTCGTCGCTTGTTGGTCCTGCGGCTGCGGTTCTTGACGCTGTTATTGCGCTCGCATCGCGCGGTGGCGGTGTGGCCCGTCTCAAGTCGCAACTCGGGGGAGTGGTCTCGGCGCTCATCGAGGCCGAGGGCGGCAATGGCCGGCTGCTGGCGGCGGCAGGCGCCGAGCTTGAATCGCTCATTCCCGACTCGGCTCCGCGGCTGCTGAAGCGGACGACGCCGCTGTTTGAGGCGGCAGTCAAGGCCCAGAGCCACGACACGCTGTTGCTCGGCTCGTTTGGGCGCCACTGCCTCCGGCTCGGCGACTGCGCCAAGGCCGAAAAGGCCTTCCGTAAGTCGATTAAGGTCGACGAGGGCAACGTCGCTTCGCTTTACGGCCTCATCCTTACCCAGCTGGTGAGCGGCAAGATCGACGAGGCAGCGACTCAGCTCGCGTTCCTCAAGCAGGTCCAGGGCTCGCTCGCCGACGCTACCCATGCTACTCACGACCTTCCGGATCCGATGCTCTCCTATCTTTTGCGCTCCATGGCTCGCTCTCGGCGGCGCCGTCGGATGACGTTATTGCCGCGCTCAACGCCGCCACCGAAGGCCATCTCGAGGCTGTCAACAGCCGGCCGCGGACCCGCGAGGCGTTGTCGGCGCTGGACCCCTGGCTCACTATGCGCATTTTCACCGCCTACCTCGAGTTTCTCGGCTCGGAGCCGCGCGATACGACCGAGCCGCCGTCGCCGCTGGTGCCGCAAGCTACCCGACTTGTCGAGACGATCATGCGGCGACTGCCGGCATACGCCGACGCGGTCCTTGGCCTTGCACGACTGCGGTTTGTTGACGGCGCGGTTGACAACGCGGCTGGCCTTGTCCAGCAGGCGCTTAGCCTCGACGACAGCGCAGCCGAGCCGTTCCTTCTCCAGGCACACATCCACGTCAAGAACGGCAAGGTGCAGGCAGCGTCGCAGGCGCTCGAGCGCGCGCTTGCGTGCGACTTTCACATCCGCGACACGCCGCAGTACCACCTTGTCGAGGCCGCCATTTGCGTGCTCACCGATGACTACGCCGGCGCTTTGGAGTCTCTCGACGCGGCGATGAAGCTGCCGGGCGTGCGCGTCGGGAGCGAAGCAAGCGCCAAGACACCTGTTGCGCTCCAGGACCGCATTGCCATTTACGTCGAAGCTGCGCTTGTGCGTGCCAAGAGCGGGGCGGTTCACGAGGCGACCAAGATGATGCAGGACGCCGTCCACGCCTTTGGCGGCACGCTTCTTGGTAACGTGGTCGCCATTGCTGGCGCCTCGCTTGAGGTGCTGCGAGGCAGCGTGGCCAACGCGCTCGGACTCCTCGGGCGGGCTGACCCAGACAAGCCGCACTACATCCGGGCCAAGACGGTGGAGGCGCAGCTGTATCTGACGGAGCTCAAGGACCGCAAGCAGTACATCAAGACGTACAAGGCGATTGCGGCCGAGTCCAACTCGGTCCAGGCTTACCTCATGCTCGGCGACGCGTACGTGGCCATTCAAGAGCCACTCAAGGCTATCTCGGTCTATGAGTCAGCGCTCAAGCTCGAGCCGGACAACTATCAGCTGGCGGCCAAGATTGGGATGGCGCTAGTCAAGACGCACGACTATGCCAAGGCTATCGAGTACTACTCGAGCGCAGCCAAGTCATCGCCGCACTCACTGGGCCTTGCCTACGAGCTGGCGGCGCTGCATGCCAAACTCCGCGACTACGACGCGGCTCTGGACGCAGTCGAGGCGGCGCTGGGCGCCGCCGAGGACGAGGGTGACGACGTGGCCGCGGCGATTGTTGCAGTCAAGCTCCGGGTGCTCAAGGCCTCGGTCCATAGTCAGAGCAACGAGCTTGACGTGACACTTGGCGAGCTTGACACGGCACGATCGGCGCAGGCGAGTCTGCTGCACCGACTGGAAGCCGAGTCGCCGGACGCGCTCGCCGAGCAGAATCTGATGATGGCGGAGATTTGTGTGGCCATCGCCCAGCACCACGCCACGTTGCAGGACGCCGACGCAGCGCTGTCGAGCTACGAAGAAGCACTGCGGCACGCGCCGCACAGTCCGGACGTTCTGGTGCAGCTCGCACGGCAGCATCTTCGGCTAGGTCACCACGATGAGACGCGGAAGGCAGCGCTGGCGCTGCTGCAGCTCGACGCGTCGCACGAGGAGGCGTCGATGATGCTCGCTGAGCTCATGTTTGCAGACCAGGACTACGACCAGGCGATCTACCACTTTCAGGAGATTCTCGAGGCCCAGCCGCAGCACTGGACGGCGCTTGGGCGGCTGATTGACCTGTTGCGGCGGGCGGGCAAGCTCGACCATGTACAGGCCTTCCTTGACCAGGCAGTGTCATCGAGCTTTGAGGCGCGGTCGTCGCCAGGCTACGCGTACTGCGCCGGGCTGTACGCACTGGCGACAGACGGGCGTGCCAAGGCGATGATGCTATCAACAAGGCACGGACGGCATCCGAGTTTCGCGAAAAGGCGCTCGAGGCCATGGTCATTATCTCGCTCAACCCGGAGGGGTTTGTCTCGCTGGCAGGGCCTGTGGCGGCGTTCGAGCCGTCGACGGGCCATCGGAACCGGCTCTCGGGCGATGCGCTGATGACGGCGCAGGCGCTGCTCGACGAGCTTGATCTGATGTACAGCGCCAAGTCGGAGCCGCTACCGGCGCGGCTCGACGTGCTGCGGGCGTATCTGCTTCTGGCGTCAGGGGAGGAGGCCGAGGCCGCAGCTCTGGTGGCCGACGTCCTCGCGGAGCAGCCGAGCCACCCGGGAGCGCTGACGTGCACGGGCGTGATGGCGCTGCGCAAGAAGCAGCTTGGCGAGGCAAAGAGTGCGCTTGAGCAGGTTGTCGCACTGCCGTATCTTGCGGAGGAGGCTGACGCGTTTGACACAGCTTTTCTCCTGCTGGCCGATGTGTACGTGAGCGGACACCAGCTCGACCAGGCGTCAGAGCTTGTCAAGCGGGCGCTCTCGTTCAACGGCTCGCTGATGAAAGGCTGGGAGTTCCTCGGATACATCCACGAGAAGCTTGACGCGTTTGTGGATGCTGCCGAGTGCTACCGGTCAGCGTGGGAGCTGAGCAACGGCACGGCACTGGGCGTGGGCTACAAGCTCGCGTTCAACTACCTCAAGGCCGAGGCGTGGATCCCCGCTGTTGAGATTTGTCACGCTGTGCTCCGGGTTGACCCCGAGTACCCGCAGATTCGCAAGAGCATCTTGCGGGTGGCACGTGAGCAGCTCAAGCCGTAGTTTGCGAGTTGAAGGATGTGTTTGATGCGCATTGGCTGCCGGTGCGGAGAAGGCGGCTACTTGCGGCGCCAGATGCCGAGGTGGGCGGCGACAAACTCGTACTTGCGGATGTGCTCGCGAATGACAAAGGGGATGTCACCTGACGAGACGAGCTCAAACGAGGAGTCAAGGGCATCGGTGAGAGCCTTGGCCGACGAGCCGTTGGCGGCGGAGAGCCACTTGGACTCGGGCGTAAACTGCGGGAGCCACGAGAAGGGCGAGGTGATGACCAGGGTGCCGTCTGGGTTGACGAGCTCGGGGAGGACGTCGATGAGGAGGTACGGGTCGGGGAGGCGGCAGAGCACGTTGCCGATGAGGACGCCGTCAAAAGTACCGAGGGTGGCGGGGTCGAGCGCAGTGGCGTCGCCGACAGCAAAGTCGACGCGCGAGACGTCGACCGAGTTATCGACGCGGGCGACGTACGAGTCAAAGACACCGCCCTCGCGGCGGACCTTGTACTCCAGCGCCTTGTGCTCCTGCATGTACTTGGCAGCTTCAACAAAGGCGTGTGAAATATCGAGGGCAGTGACCGAGTTGAAGGTCCGGGCGAGCTCAAAGGCCGAGGCGCCGACGGCGCAGCCAATGTCAAGGGCACGGGCCCGCGGGTTGGAGGCGAGCGTGTGGCCCTCGACCAGCGCCGCACAGCGCTGGGGGAACTGCAGGGTACCGGCGTCGATGTAAGCCGGAAAGTCGTCCTGGGTTCCGTAGTGCATGTTGAGGTACTGGTCAAGCACGATCTGGTCCTCGTACTTGTCGACGATGCCAGCGGTGGAGCCGACGGCGACACGCGGCGGAGCGGCGGAAGCAGCAGCAGGCGGAGCGGAGCCAGCGGAGGCAGCAGCGGCGGCGGCGCCGGTCACGGTGGTCGGCGGCGGGACGCGGTAGGGCGAGGTGGCGCCGACAAAGGGCCCCTCACAGCCGGCGCAGGAAGTGACCGGCTCAGCGGTGGGGTGGGCCGGCTGGACGAGACGGGCGCCGGCGTGCTGGTAAAAGTGTGGGCGGAAGTGGAAGCGAGCGTGGCGCGAGGCCTCGTTGCCCGTGGCGGCAAACGAGCCGCCCATGATAACGTTGTGCTTGCCGTCAAAGCACGGCATGGAAAAGTCGGGGTAGACGTCGTGCGGCTGGAAGCCCGGGAGCGGGGCAAAGTGGTCGTAGCACCACTGCCAGACATTGCCCATGACGTCGCGGACGCCGTGGGCCGACGGCGGAGCGGCGTCGACGGGAGTGTGCGAGCCCCAGACAAGGTTGAGGTTGGGCGAGGCGGCGACGGCGTCGGGCTCGGACGAGGCGGTGGCACCGGCGACCGGGTTGAGGACAAAGTCGGAGGCGTCGGGGAGGCCTGTGCGGAGGACGGCGTGCTCGGGCTCTGTGATAGCACGGGTGGGCTTGCCGGTGGCTGCGGCGATGTAGTTGGCGTAGGCCTCGACCTCGTAGTAGTTGAGGTCTGCGGGCCAGGCCCAGGGCATGTCGATTTCGTCAAAGACGGCGCGGAGGCGGTACTCGTGGAGACCGGCGGGGCCAAAGGGGCGCCAGAAGGTGGGCCACTTTGCGTTGCGGAAGGTCCGCCAGGCCCAGCCATCGGGCGACCAGTACTTTTGCTCGAGGTAGCCGTTTGAGCGAACAAAGTCGAGGAACTCGCCGTTGGTGACGAGGTGCTTGGCGACGTCAAAGTCTGCGACGTCGATGGACTTTGAGCCAAACTCGTTGTCCCACGAGAAGCCAGAGTGCGAGTCCGGCCGACCGAGGACAACCGGGCCGTCCGGCTTGATGGAGACAAACTCGTTGGTCGGGAAGTCGACGCCAGCGACCGGATTGGCGGTCGGTTGAGCCTGGGTGGCGGACGGGTGGTCGACAGGCCAGGTGAGCGGGCGGCGGACGAGCGAGAGCGGGAGCTCGCGGATGAGAACCGACGAGGTCTCGAGGTGGATGCGCTCGTGCTCAAAGCCCATGACGACGGCCCAGAACGGCGAGGCCGGCCCGGCCTCGGCGAGCGAGTCAAAGTGGGGCGAGGAGACGATGGTCTCTGCAACAAGCTCGTAGACGCGCTTGCGGTAGTCGAGAGTGTTGGCCACCGACGGCCAGCGCATGACGTTCTTATGCATGTCGTCCCACGACATCTCGTCGACGCCGGTCTCAAAGATCTTCTCGTAGAATGGCGAGATCGGATCGCGGGCGAGGCCGGCGACCCGGAACTTGTTCACGTACAGCGCCGCCGGGTGGCCATAGTAAAAGATGAGCGGGTGGCGAAGGTCGTGCCACGGCGGGCGGTAGAAAGCCTCCTCCGAAGCCAGCGACGAGAAGAGGACCTCGGTGAGGAGCCAGGTGTTGTCAAAGTAGTCGAGCAGCTCCTGGCGCGAGGCCGTGGTGTAGTCGACCAGCGGGAGCGAGGTGACGAGCCCGTCGGGACCGACACCGGGCGTGCCGGCCACCGGCGCCTTGCCGGTCCACCACCAGTCCGAGGTGGGAGTGGGCGCGACGGCGATGCGGCTCTCGCCCTCGAGGTTCTCCTTCCACGACGACATGTACTCGACCTCCATGGATCCGAACGAGGTGGCGCCGGCATTGGCGTCACTGCGCTCGGTATGGACGAGCTCCGGAGGCGCGCCTGCGGTTGGGGTGGACGACGAGCGTCGGGCCGGGGTGGCGCTAGCGGCGATAGCTTGCGCGTTTGCGGCGGTGGCCAGGCCGCGAGAGGCGGCAGTAAAACAGGGCGATGACGCCATTACCGAGCCGGGAGCACAACCGACCATAGAGCGGACGTAGGAGGAGCGCGAGTTCGAGTTGACCTCGCGCGGGTTACAGAGCACAAACCGCATGTTACCCTGCATTCCAGCCGGGGCGCAGGTGGCGAACGGCGCCGTGTTGTCCACAGACGCCTCGCCCGTCGCCGACGGCGGCATGTGCGCTGCTGCAGCTGCCGAGGCCGATCGCACCGCGGCAAGGGCTGCACGAGCGGCAGTGCCCGAAGCCGACGCAACGCCAAAGGCAGAGGTATGGCGGGAGAGGAGAGAGAACATGCTAAGGTGGATTTGTGTTCCAAAGTATGAGACTTGTGAAGAGAGACATACCTTGGTCTTCTGACTGGGCCCCTCGCCGCGGTCGACGGCAAGGACCTGAGCATGTCAAGCTTGTGGCGGGGCTGTCGCCCTGACGAAAATCCTGCAGACCTTCTGACGACAGCCAATGGCTGCGGCGGCGGGCAAGTCCACCGTAGATGACCTTACGGAGGCAAGTTAGACAATGATGAATGGGTCGAATAGGGTGATTCTGGCATGACACACCTGATTGGTCAGTTCTTGGGCATACATCATGGCTGATGGCTGTATGCCGTGGGTGATGGCCGTGGGTGCAGGCGCGAGTGCTTGGTCGCCCCAAAAAATGAATGGGTTGTCGTCATCACTTTTTTCCGGAATCACGTAGCTAAGCAGCCGCACAAGCGGGAGGCGCGCGTTGGTTGGCTGGCGGAGGGCGATGTGCCTGACTCGAGGGGGGGGGGGGGAGGGGGAGGGATGGCAAGTCCTGCGAGCACACTTGACGTACCGCGACGACGACGAGAGATATTGTTGTAGAGGATACGATGGCCGAGACGGAAGGTGATATAGCCAAGGTTGTCGAGGTGGTCCGTGGAGCGCCCAAGGTTGAGCTGCATGTGCATCTTGCGGGCGCTATGCCACAGGCGACGCTCGACGGACTGTGCAGCAAGTACGGGGTGGCGCCACGGAGCGCTGCCTTTGTGGACTACGCCACCTTTATCGAGACGTGGGTGTGGATGGTGGACGAGCTGATCCGTGAGGCCGACGACTACCGCCGTATTGCGGAGGACGCGCTGACGGCCATGGCCACACAATCAAACGTGGTCTACGCGGAGGTCTTCTGCTCACCGGGCACCCCGGTCAAGGAGGGCAAGTTCTCGCTTGCCGACGCGCTCGACGCCATCCTGGCCGGTGCGGCGGCGGCCCGCGCTGCGACGGGCATCGAGGCTGTGTTTGTGGTTGATCTGGAGCGGCTGACCGGGCCCGAGTGGGGGATGGCGCTCCTCGACAGCATGGCGCCGTACGTGGGCAAGGGCGTCATCGGCGTCGGGCTCGGCGGGCCCGAGGCGGCGTGCGAGGCCGAGGTGTACGCACCGGTCTTTGCCCGGGCGCGCGAGATGGGGTTGCGGCTCACTGCCCACTGCGGTGAGTCGCAGGGCGCACCTGAGGTTGCCGCCTGCCTCGATGCGCTCGGCATTGAGCGCATAGGCCACGGCGTGCGGATTATGGAGGATCCGGAGCTTGTCGTCCGCGCCGCCGGTCTCGGCGTCCCGTTTGAGGTCTGCCTCACCTCGAATGTGGCCACGGGCCTGGTGGCATCAATCCAGGCCCATCCGTTGCCAGCCATGCTCGCTGCCGGTCTGGTCTGCACGCTCAACTCGGACGACCCGCTGTTCTTTGACACCACCCTCGCCGATGAGTACGCGGCTGCGGTGACGCGGCTGGGCATGGACTACGATGCGGCTGTCGGACTCCTTCGCGCCGCTATTGCGACGTCCTGGGCACCGGACGCGTACAAGGCCGAGCTAGAAGCGCAGCTCGACGCCTACCTCGAAAGGTAGGCGAGCAGGGCCTCGCACTGCGTGCGCAGCTCACTTGCTGTGGCGTCAATGGTGCCTTTGGCGGCGAGGGCCTCGAACACGGCCAAGTCGGTCCCGTGGGCCTTGGCCCAGCGCAGAATGGACTTGTTTTCTTCGGCGGTCCACTCCCGCGGGCCGGCACTGTTGGCCCCGCCGTGGGTATTGTCATCATCGTCGTCGTCGCTCAGCACGACTTCTTCGGCAGCTGCGGGGACCGGGCGCAAGGCGCGCGCCCGCTGCTCTTCCCGCTCGCGTAGAATCGCCAGCGAGGCCTCAACCTCGAGGACGTAGCTAGTGTGACGGGCGAGGGACGCTGGCGAGAGGTCAACGTCAAACGGAAGAAACGGCATCGGGTGCGAGCCTGGCGAGACATGGCGAACGTCGTCGGGTGGGATGGCGGCAAGCGTGGGAGAAGGGACCGGATGTGCGGAGCCGTCGAGGCGGTGCAACGCCTTTGCGGCGACACCGGCGATCGATGGGGCGCGCTTACGCTTGCGCCGGCGCGAAGGCGGCAACGGCAGGAGGCCAAAGATGTCGCCACGGCGCGGAAAGATGGCTATCAGCCAGCGGATGGCCGGCGGCAGCTGCGGAAGCATGGCTGCAAGCCTGTCGACGGCCTCGGGGAGTGGAAGCAACCGCTTGCTCTTGCTCTGGACAAGGCGCGACCAGAGTTCAGGGCATGACGAGCGGATCGAAACAAGCTTACGGAGGGCCATCAAGTTTGTGCACGACGGCACCTTGCCTGCAACGGCGTTGCGGATGCGGTTGCGCAGAGTCTTGACCGGTTTGGTCGGCAGCAGCGTCCACGCAATGTACTCGGGCGAGGTAAAACCAAAGTACAGAATGCCGGTGGTGAGGAGGGTGTCTTCGGCAGGCGTAAACTGCGACCGTATGGGCGTGTAGCTCCATTCTGGGTCAAAGGAGAAGAACAGCGCCCGCCGCATCTCAGCGATGACAGTCTTACGACGCAGTGCGTTGCGGGCGAGCGAGCGGAGGGCGGCGCGCCGGCGCGATGGGTGCAGATTGAGGACCGAGCCAAACGGCGTAGCGCGCGCATAGCTCTCGCAAAGCGAGTGCTGCGGAGCAATCTGAGCGAGCGCCGAGATGAGCGAGGAGGATATGGCGCCCATGGCCGGGACAGCCGGCCCGCCGTCGGCAATGACTGACGCCAGGAGGCGCGCAGTGGCCAGGTCCGGGATGGCGGAGAGCGCGTTGTGCGGCGCCGGCTCGGGGGTGCCCTCGGCGGTGAGCGCGCGGACAGCGAGCGAGCCGTCGGCTCGGAGACCGGCGCCGAGCGAGTGGAGCTCCTGGATGAGAGCGGCGATGGTGGGCGCCACCGGGCGCGAGGCACGATCAAAGGTCGAGAGGGTCATGACCTGGACAAGGAGCTGGAGGTAGAGTCGGAGCTGCTGGCGCAGCCGCTGGCGGTGTGCCGAGGTGAAGAGCGATGGCGCAAGGCGGGCCGACTCGGCGCGGTGCGGTAGCGAGTACGGGTTGCGCCGCAGGTGCTCGGTCTCGTGCGGGACAACTGTGAGCTTGTAGCGGGCACGACGGGCGCGCGGTGCGGCGCGGTACGGATCCGGAATCGAGTCGGCCACCGACGAGACAAGAAGCTTGCGGACCTCGCGTCGCGGAATGCGCGCGCCGGTGTTATACTCGGCATCTTTGTCGGCTTGGAACATCGGTGAGAGCCGCATCCGCAGAAGATCCGACATAAAGTTGTAGTCGTCGTCGTTGTCGTCGTCGTCACCGGACATCGAGGTCATGCCTTCGCCGGTGACTTCGGCCAGAAACTGCTGATACAGCACGCCCTCGTCCTCCTCGTTCTGGTCTAGCAGCGGTCCGAGCGGCAAGTCGAGGTCCCACATCAGGTCGTCGACGTCGTCGTCGACTTCGGGCACTCGCGCTCGGGTTCGCGAGAAAATGGCCAAGCTCGACGGCGGCGGCTCGCTACTCAGCGCCCGAGACGGGTGGCGGGGCGTAGATTGCAGCGGCTCAGATACGCTCTCGTCATCATCGTCGTCATCGTCCGAGCCCGACGGCCGAAAGTCTTCGTCGTCCTCGTCCTCGGAGACAAGCGACGGCGAGCGGCAGAGCTCGACTGACATGCCGCGGCTTGTTCGGCTCATGACAGCGGCTGCCACGTTTGAGGAGGCGGCTCCAGAAGCGGTGCCAGAAGTGGCATGGGCACGTGTCTGCCGCGGGCGCGAGAGTGCTGACTGCTGCAGTCGCTCGACCTCTGTGTCGGAGATGCCCAGATCGGACGATACGGAGCCGTCGTCGTCTTCGTCGTCTTCGCAATCGTCATCGTCGTCGTCATCGCCGTCCCCTGATCTACTGTTCGAGTCGTACGAGTATAAGAGCTCCGAGTCGTCGTCATTGTCGTCATCGTCGTCGTCTGAGGCGAGGTCCACCATCTCGACGGCCGAGTCTTCGGCGCCGATGCGGCGCATGTGTTCGACAGCCGGAACGATGGCCGGAACAAGGACGGTTTCCACGGTGGTCTTGATCAGCGCCACGTGGCTCGCCGACAGCTCGTATCCATCGCGACGTGCAGCCGGGCCTGTCCGTCCTGTCGGGTTGGCGGCGTGTGTGGCGTGTGTGGCGTGAGTAGCGTGTGTGGCGTGTGTGGCGTGTGTGGCGTGTGTGGCGTGTGTGGCGTGTGTGGCGTGTGTGGTGGTGTTGGTGTTGTTGGTGGTGTTGGTGGTGGACATTGAGTGCCCTTCCCCCCCTTTGTGTGGTTATTATTGGTGGGAGTACGTGTGTGTGTGTGTGTGGGTGTGTGGCTGGGTGGGGGGGGGGGGGAGTTGGGTGTATGTGTGTCAACCAAATTCTTTTTTGTGCCCATTCTTCTTCTCACCCGTTCATGGTCATGGCCACTTGATAGAGGTGACGAGGATCTTGTACGAGAAACAACAGGCGAATCCATGCTCTCTTTGCGGTCGATACTGTGTTTGCTTGCATCTGGGGTGTGTGTGTGTGTGTGTGTGTGTGTGTGTGTGTGTATGTATGTGTGTGTGTGTGTGTGGAAGGGGCAGGGGAAGGGAAGGGAAGGGGGAGTGGGGCTTAGGCTTGGGCTTGAGCTTGAGCGGGAAGGTGTGGTAACCTGG